GTGTTAAAGTTGGTATAATATAAGATAATTTCAGTTAAAAAAAAACCCTAAAACTGTCATAGTACGACTTATTTGCAAAAATCAATATTTGTTTGTTCGTTTTTATACGTTAAAGTATGTATCGTTCATTCGATCATCGGTTGCTAGGTAAAGCAAAGGACATAGGGCACATTGTATAAAAAAATTATCGTTTTGCTTCAGTTCGGCGTCTCATGCTTGAAAGGATACAAATGTTCAACCCTAGGAACCAGACAAGCAATATTCCTAAATAACTCTAAATACATAATACAAAATTTTGATTCATTATTAGAATAGCAATTACCCACTGATTTATTTCATGGTCGAGTTATTTTTGAATTCTAAGAATTAATCAATGGCGTGAAATATTCATTGGTACAAAGTTACCAAGGTTATGTACACGCTATAATAGAATTCACGTACATACGTTAGAACTAAATTTATCGTTTCATGTTGACAAACTTATTTAAAAAAAATAACAGCTGACTCTTAGTTCTAAATCATGCCACTGGGAACTTTATTTAGCTGCCAGTTTTGATTTTGATATTTCCTCCAGACCTCCACAACCCAAGTACTAGGCGATTTCGAAGTTCTGTAGAAAGACTGTTGTCGATTTTTTTTAAACTCCAACTAACCGTAACGATGGCTTTGATATAATTATACTTATAAATAGTTATTTAATAAGATCAAAAAGTAGATTTAATCTTCAACAGTTAAAATTATAACCAATAATAATAAGCGTGTATACCCACCAAAAAGAAGACGTGTCAGATATACTTATATAATAGAATATCACTGCTTATTGTATTTAAATATGGTATAACAGTTGTTTACGGAAATAAGATTACCCTATTAAATAATCATGTAATTTACATGTACATTAATAAACCTAAGTTGTATAAAACTAGCAAATAATATTTGTTTTATAGGAATAGGAAATATCATAATTGTACTTTTTAAAAACTCAACTAGTCGATAGGCGGGCAGCTGTGGGGGTCTAAGGTATCAGTTCATTTTAGAAAACGGGTCTCTTGCCCAAAATACTTTGGGAATCCCTGATGTACATCATTGAATCGCTTACGTATGCAGGTTGGTCATTGCAAGAGCAACATGGCAAATTAGGGCTACATCGACCAGACGCAAAGGCGCTGTGAATTTGGCTCTCCAATCCAAACCATGATACATTTGCTTTCTTGTTTACTGTGCCCCTGCGGCTGCACTGTAGAGGAGCTGTGGAGAGCAACGGACAATGCCATGGCTGTGGCGGAATTAAGGGGTGTTCACCCGTTGATACAACGAAGAAGAAGCAATAATATATTTTTTTTCGCCGCACCTCCCTCTCCTTGATTATGGGCGGGGGGCTCATTGATAGACTTGTGATACTTGTATCCATGGGCGGCGGTAGTCACTTACTATCAGGTGCCGCGTCAGCTTATTTTGGATGATAGACTTTACCTCCTCCCAGACATTAAAAATGTTATACAGCTTTGGTATAGAGAGTTCACATCAACATCAACAGCGTTTAATAGTCCACTGCTGGACACAGGCCTCTCCTTAGAAAGGAGGTTTTGGCCCTCTATACTACGCTGGCCAGACGGGTTGGTATAGGGTTTGTGTCAAGTTTTCCTTCTTTTTGCCGTGCCTGGTGTCCTGTGTGGTTTTGTGCCCTTAGTCGGCTCTTACGATGCCCACGGGATGAATTGGGGTAGTGTAGTACATTCCGTATTCTTAATCCGTCACTACACGGACATAGAGAGACGGATATAGAGAGTTAAAAAATGATTTTCTTGTAATATATTAACGATTTTAGGCTATACACAACTTGATATTCCGGTCCCAGTGTCCTCTCCAAATGCAGGTCGGACTGGTCGGACGGACGGTCACTGAGGTACACCTACATATAGGTGTACCTCGGCGACCTCACAAAGGTATTGCAGCCTAGATCTCTTAACTTACCTTTGTTTTCGCACTATCAGTTTTCTTTACCCAATTTAACTTCCGTTGTCTCATTTGAAACGATTACATTCCATAGAAGGTAGGCGTAAAACTGGCGTAAAATAATGTATATTGACAATTAAATAATTCACCTAAATATACAGGACTATGTGTGGTTACTGCCAAACCAAGGAACCATTTAAATCTTGTTCCAATCATGTTTAATCACATAATTTCGTACTAAATTATAATTATTTTTAACATTCGAAATTTATTGAAAACAACGAACAATCGAAACTCCGTCGAAGACAAAAAAAAATGGGGTTCAGAAGTCCTAATAAAAAGCCCCATAGTTTCTGTACTAGGAACCTAGGATTTAATAATCATACCGACAAAGTGGTATATTAAATTATTTAAAGAATTTAAGATGGATGGTAACCCCAACGTAAACTGGGGATCATTATTTTTTTCTCATCTATCCAATTGTCAATTTTTACTTCTTCTTAGTTAAACAGTATCTTTAAACACATAGAGATAATGTAAAAACAATTTTTTGATTCGGTTATTTCATTGTCATATAAGTTATATTTCATAGAAATAGTCACCAAACTTATACAATGTACCTACTTTAAAAATTCGAACAAAACACATGCCTTTTTTTCCGAAATCCCCTCGGATGCCACCCACCGGTGGTTATGCCGAACTCTAACCGATTAAAAACCGCACACCATCTCAAGTGCCAGTAGCCGGGGAACCAGGTGTACCCTAGAAAGGAAATCCCTGGAATGTAGATGACCCTCGTTTGTGGGAACCACGGTGTTCCCGTTCTATAAACTAAGCCCACTATATGTAGATGAAACTAAATTAATTCTTTGTATAAACTACGGAACTCTACGTTGCATGTAGTCGTTTTTTTTTATTGACAACACTAAAACTCGTCAATAGTTAAACAATAAACAAAAAATGGTGAAAAACTGGATAAAAGCACAAAAAAGGTCCCAAGGTGCTTTGTCTTCACTTCTTTTTATGTATTGTAGATTTTGAATACATGGTGTTAAAGATTCAAGGTAAAAATAGCAAAACGTATGATGCTATAATAGAATGCCTTCAGAATTAAGTATCACCATATTTAACTGTAAGAGTTAAGTAAAATGTATGTAGTTAAAAAATTATCAGTTTACTTAGTCGGGGACAGAGTGGGAAGATTTCTTTAAAAATGTCGTATAAAACTCAGAACCTCGGGGTGAATTCATTATGTCGAAGAGAAAACTGACTGAAACACAACGTTGTTTCTGAATCAAATTGTGACACTATAAGAGTTTGGAGTTTATCAATATCACTTCAAACTACAAAGCTTTAAGAACATGGGTACTAGGTATTTTAACTCTTACATTTTTACTGACATATTGATCTAGTGGCTAGTGATACTACGAGTAAGCCAGTCTTGATTCCCACTCAGAACAAATAATTGCGTGATAAGTTCGATCACTTGTTCTGTATCTGGATATAACTTATCGACAGTATGTATGTACTTACACACATACTGTCGATAAGTTATGTGTGTATTTAGAAATTAGAGAAATCTACATAAAATGTTTATCAGCAGTCTGGATACCATAACACAGACTCTACCTAGTTTGTGATCAGACGGTCGTGTGAGATGTGATTTATTATTTCTCGAATATTAATAAATCAATGACACCTATAAAACTAAAGATAAAAAAAAGAAAATAACCTATAAAACTAAATGTTTTAATATCATACTAGAGGTTACTTCACTTTTTTAAAATATACTATTTGTTATTATTGTGGTTACATCAGCATTAAAATAGTTGAAGCAATGAATAGTTGTAGGAAATGAACAATAGTATTATCCACTAATACGTTTTGTTCGTGTTCTTATTTTGAATGTTTAGTTTCTCGTAATACTTAACATAAAACAAACTAAATCATCGTGGTGATGACCAAAATTGCGTATGATGTATGCTGCGTTATGGACATAATATTACAGAAGTTTGGAAAGAAATAAAAAAAAAACTGTTTGAAACCAATGTTTAAAATTGTTCCACGACTTTTATTTAGTTATAAATACTTGAATACAATGTAGCGCAGTTTTACTATTATCGCATTTTAATTTTATGAAATATATATAAAATCAAAAGAAAGATATTATATTCCTACACTTAGTTTTACAAATAAAAATAACTGCATAAATCAATAGTTATTGGTGGCAGATACGTATACAGTAGACTAAACCATTCCACAGTACCTACAACAATGTTCTCATTCCAAGACGAGTAGTCTTCTGTGAAAAATCTCGGAGTTTTCATTGACAGTGCGACTGTCATGGACTACACATGTAACTGAGGTAAACAGAAAAGTCTTTAAAACCTATCATTCCCTAAAGCGCTTCCAAAATTTTCAGCCCTTTCAAACTAAAATATGTCTTTCACAACCCCTTCTCCTTATCCTTTTTGACTATGTTGATGTTTCCCTTCTCGACGCTACTGAAGAAGTTTGGGATAAGCTTGGGAGATTGCAGAATTTGTGCATTCGCTTTATATTTGACCTAAGAAAGTATGATCATGTGTTGGAATTCTGTGATGATATATAGTGATATATTTATGGCTGTAGGTAATGTTACATATGGTTGTAAGCGTAATGTAATGTATAAACTTGTGTTATACTATAGTTTATTTACATGACATTTGGTAATTTTGTTTATATTTCTATTTCTGTATATATTCAGTGGTATATTCTATTCTATTTCTGTATATTTTCTTAAATTTACTCTGCACACACGACTCTCTCTTGTTGTGCTATCCTCTCTTCAGTCTTAGGTTTGCTGGAAGGGGAACTCAATGATGGATACAGCTCGCCTTTGTGACCACTATTCCTTAATGGTTTTTTTTTATAAATGTTTATTTTGTGTACGTAAGCAAAAAATAAATATCAATGCTCGTTCAACATATGTAAGTACCTTACAAAAATATAATATTGCTTTAACGTTTCAATGGGCGTAGTTAGTTGTTGCATTTCAATCGGCTTTAGTTTGGTCCAACTGGAAATAAATATTATGTATGAGTGAAGTGATATTTTAAAGTTTATTTTTGTTTATCAAAGATATTTAAATACACTTTTTTGTGGCATGAAACGACATGATACAATATACACCACCCCTAAAGCTCCTTTTAGGCCCGTATTTTAAAAGTTGTCTCAGTCGTGAATCTAGTCTTAAAACGAATTTTAAGTATAAATTTTATTATTGAACGTCACCTAAAACGAGATTCACTGATCCATACTTAAGTGAGTGATAGTTTATTTTAGAACGATGTTTATGTCGAAATCTTAACTCTCTAAGGTATAGATTTTGACACTTGCGAAGGAGATGGCGGAGCGGGACCGGGAGAGGTTTAGAACTCTTCCAGACCGCCAGGCCCTGGCACGGGCCAGATACCGCGCTGGAGGTCGCAGAACGACCTCCGTCCTCCATAAGAGTCCTCCAGACCTGGGAGTGACAGGTGAGGCCATCTGTCACGTGTATTTTAAAAAGATTACATACCCTACTGAAAGTCTCTATAAAATTATTGACCTTCGTTCTGTTAGAAAATTATATATAGCTAGTGTAGTTCTAAAAAAATACAAATCTATTCCCTATGATAGAGACTTTTTGTCAAAAAGACGAAAACATAAAATTGCACAATTCCTCCAACCAAAACCGTTCAAACACACATATAAACGCACACCCACGCACACACGAACACACACACACGTACACACACACATTGATACATACATACATACATCAACTACCCATCTCAACATGTACTGGCCCCTTCATAATATTATTAAAATAAAATATTTTTTCGTATTAAAGTAAGTTTGTAAGAATCAAATGAACATAATCGTGTACCAACTATGTAACAATTATGCTATGGAAGAGCGGAGTCTCCTAATACAAGTATTATTTGCTTAAAAGGAAGCTCCAATCAGAAATATTTTTTTACTTATTTTTGGTAACGAAATAAAACATTTTGTATTTTTTGTATTTCGTACCCTAGCAGAAGCAGGCCGGGGTAGCGGAGAGACACGCTGCGCAGCGGTTTAGTTTATAGAACGGGAACACGGTGGTTCCCACACAGGAGGGGTCATCTGCCCGCCGTAGATGGCCCGAGGTGCGTCAGGGTACCAGGGATTTCCTTTATAGGGTACACCTGGTTCCCCGCCTACTGGTAACCGAGACGGCATGCGGTTTTTAGTCACATTGACACATTGACCTCAAAACGACTTGTTTATCTTTTGGAGCTTAGAGGCAGGTACAAAAGTTTATTTGATATTTATAGAATGTACATCACTTTTTTTCAAAAGGCTATCTCTGTTTTTATAAACATATATTACATTTTTATGTATATATTGTCATGCCTCTGTCATTATGTTTATTTCTTTAAAGAACAATGGCAGGTAAACATAATTTTCAAGTGAAATGACAGCGTTTAAATATCAAAAATGCCTATAACCCTCGAGAATTAATACTTGAACATTCTCATAATAAATAGCGTTGTGTGTCATTTATTTGAAAATATTATTTTCATCATTATTACTCATAAGCAACCCTATTTTGCTGTAGAAATTGTTAGCCGACTCTGTAAAAGGGTGAAATCTTTGCTTACCAAGCAGGTGTAATGCTAGCTATGATAAATAAATGATTAATAATATTTTGAATAAATGTACTTCAATACACATGTACACAAGGCGGAAGCATTAATTTAGTTGTTTGACAGCCAGTAGTTGTGACATTATTTACTAAAATCTAAAGCATGCATTCATTATATTGAGATTAGTATTTTTTGTAGTAGGAAAATAACGTAACTATATTCTATTTATTTGGTGTAGCAAAAATCTTTAAAAAGTGTCAAAAATATTCTAAATTATTTCTAATTAAGTTGATTTAGTCACTACGGTACTAGTTACGGTAGCGTACGAGTGAACCCGTGGCGGAACCCTTCGATAGATATTTAAGCCAAAGTTATAACAATCGATTATCGATTAAACGTCAAATAAAATCTTTAAAATATCCTATCTCTTATAAGACTTATACTACACATGGCGATATCATGATAAACCATAGAAAAAATATTTATTAAGTTTACTGTTGGTCAATTTTTTAAACGCTCCAGTTTTAGGTAAATATGTTTCTGCCATTGTTCTTTCTGACTCGATGAAAAACAATTGCCTAATTATAAAGCATTCCCCCACAGTAGAATACCGTACGATATTATGCTGTAAAGAAAAGAAGAAGACAAGTCGTGCTGTATCAACATCAGTTAACTCTCGAATTTTTCTTACTGTGTGTGCTGCTGAGCTGAGTCTACTCGATAATTTATCAATATATGCGCCCCATTGTAGCTTAGAATCTAGTGTTATACATAAAAATGTCATAGTATCCACAAGATCCAACTCGACATCCTTAATCATCACAGTAGTTTTAACTGGCTTGACGTTTGGCATGGTGATACGTATACACTTGGTTTTTTGTTCATTTAAAAGCAAATTGTTGACGTTAAACCAATGAACCACTTTCGAAATGGCACTGTTTACCTCTGTGAAATTAAGTACTATACAAATTTACAAAAAAAAAAAAAATTTTTAATAATCAGCTGCGTAATACTGAATAATAATGTCAATCATGCGAAAACGTAATTGAGAACAGACTATGAGTTCAAATCAATACTTGAAACTAGTTTCAACTGAGTAAAACTTAAAACGCGTTCTATAATGAAATCGATACTTAAGTTTTGATCTGTACTTTAAACTAGTTTCAGGCAATCAGAGTTCAACCGATACTTGAGACGTCTTTTAAAATACAGGCCTTAGTGTATTCCGGACAGACAAACATAACAGACGTGGACGTGGAAATTGTGTGGGCTGTTCCGTTTGGCTTGACATATTTTTGTTTAAAATACATATGAACATCGGCACTAAGCACGCGATAAATAAAACAAAAAACCACTAATCTTTATGCTCAATCAGTAAACATTGGGACTTAATGTTGATGCCCGACTGCTCAAGTAATTTTTTTTTACAATATTAACTTAGATCTAAGATTTAAACTATGAACTCGATCGTTAATTTATTAATAATAACATACATCACACAACAACTTAAGGTAGATGACTATAAACATTTAAGATAACTTCATCAAGTTGAGCAGTCTAATTGAGCAGTGGGGAACAAGCATGCACACGTTCCTTTGATCTGTGTTCAAAAACCGACACTAGCCCCAATCGACAACAAACTCAAGCCAAGCTAAACAAACCATTTACACATTTGTGTTTGTGGACACTTGTCGAAGCTTGCTAAGCGTGTGAACGCCTCATAAAGTTACGTGAAGATTTGAGATTGGCGATGCCACAGCATTCCACAAAAATGTATGTGCAATCTGTTGCTATTCAAGCTATGTGATTGTGGAAAACATTAGTGTAGTTCACATTAGGCAAACTATTAGCGAAGAATATTCTGTTTCATTTTAATATAAAGTTAATAAGAATATTACTTACTCCGAGCAAAAAATATTTTTTTCTCTTCATCGGTTAAATCCGGTAAGTCCGTACCGTCGGAAGTGGTGTAATAAATTTTCTTTGTCCTTGACATTTTGGCAGGTAAATTTTCTACGGTTTTCTGGGACATATTGCTAGAAATTCGTTTATGACTTTCTACTTTATATACTCTGTCGAAGTCTTTCATCAATTTGTCGAACAAGCTTGGAGGATACTCTGTTCGATCGATATTCTCTGTTGTATCATCATAATGCGATTGTACATTTGCAACGGTAACTATTACACTTAGTAAGAATAAACCAAATATACACATGCCGATAAGATTATTGCCAGAACAACGCAGTCTACGATCGAGTGGCGTCTGAACATATTTAGCGCCGTTGTGCTGAATTTATAAACGCTATTGTTATTATTTACAAAGGTTTGTAAAATAAATAATAGAAATGACAGGGTCTTCTATTATTAATTTACAAACCACCTAGCCTTTGTTTAGATTTATTTAAAGCAGTTTCCAGGAATCATAATGCTATATTTACATAGACTATGGCTAGAAGTTATCTCATCATAAAAACCATCATACTCCTGACTCTTAATTTAGGTACATGAAATGGTCAAACAGTTATTATAAAATAAAAATGAAAAAAGCCTTGAAACTGAATTTTTAATTAAGTCTTATTTAAAATAAGTGATGGGTGGTAATGACATACCTTTTCATATAATTTTAAAAGAATAAGCGACACCAGCATTTATTTAATTTATTACTTTAGTTAGTTATTTGCTTGATTTTTCAGTATATTGGCCATATGTTGAACCTGAATTTTACACCATGTGAAGTATTGGGCCTGAGCAGTAAAGGAAACAGGGCTGAGCAGTCTTAGGCCCATTGCCCATTACCCACCATACTCGTATGGCCTGAAGCGGCCATACGAGTATGGTCTCCAACGGCCCAATAAAATTATTATGTGCGCTTATTATTGTGTCTATTAATAATTTTTTTGATCTTCAAGACTTGGCTATGGCTCCTGGCAGGCCTGAAGCGCTGCAAATAATAATAACTTGAAATACCTTACACTGAGCTGTCAGATTAAAAAACTATGCATAAATAAAGGACACAAAATGGATCACAATTAATATTGTTATTCTCATATGATGAATATTTATATTTATTATCTACTGTCACTTTGTTCGTTTGAACTTTCCCGTTAGTGAATAACATTTAGATTACATTTAGGATTGATAAATAATATTTATGTATGTAAGTAAATCTTTTCAGATATTTTTACAAATCGGAAGAAGAAAGGACTTTCTGCCTTTTGAAGAACGGACCATAGTTTTAAGTCGGCCTGTCCATACAGATGACATCCGTCGGCCAGCTATCGTATAGCTTGACCAATATTTGTTAAGATCAACGACCCGAAGCGCAACACTACCGCCAGCAGGACAATTGGGTAGGCCATGGAAAATACTTAAAATCACCAGTAACTTACTAAATGTGAACTAACATTGCAAGGAAACACTACACTCACGTTTACATATACAAAAAATATACTATATAAGTCAAATAGCTTCAGTAATAGATATTGATATAAGCTGGCGAAGCCGCGAGCTTTAATTGTTACTTACTTGAATCCATAAAGTTCTTGAACTCATCAGGTGTAAAATCAGCAAATTGAGTAATCCCATAGGTTGATTCAAGATCTTCTGCATTGGCTTTATTTGTAGCTTCCAAATTATTCACGAAAGCTTTAAAATGTAAATCTCTGTCATCGTTGTCCTTGTAATGTCTGTCGTAATCCTTGACAAATACTTCAAACAAGCTTTCCGCATTGTTTAAATCATAATACTCTGCATCAACACTTGTAGCAATCAAGAAAACTATAACAGAAATTAAATTGACTCCATGCATTTTCAGGGCGTTCGTTCTTAACATAAGTTATTAATACTATTGTTATAGAAACTATTGTTAGTTCCCAACGCGTTATGTAATGTTTAATTTTGGTATATTTTCCTTGAACGCCACAGTTGATAATGTTTACTAGATAACATTAGCTATGGGAATATTGTATTGTTTTCCCCGTATTTTAAAAGGAATATTGTTGTGTTTCTAATGGTCTATACTTTTTTGTGTAAAATTAAAATACCATAGGAAGTACTCAGGTTACTTTCAAGTTCGTTCGTGAACAACTTGTATCCCATAACCAATGGAAACATTTTGAAGTTTGTCATCATCAAAAGCAGCTATTAAAAGAAGAAAAATAAACGGGAATAAATTACTTGATTTAATATTATTATACGAATAATTTTCAGAAATATGAGACGGTGATTTTCTTTCTATAGGAGCATAAGATTTGTAGTGACTCAGGTATGACGACTCGCAAATATTTTTATAACTGTTCAGCCCCCCTTTTCAGTTTAACTTCTTAAGTCCATCAGAAATACCTTTTTGTATCGTGTATGGTACTTCTTCAAACGACAAAAAAAAATCCTTATTACTCTGTACGTGCGTTTAACTAACACTGCGTTTTGCAGTTTTTCTAATTTTCCAGTATTGCAGGAGGTGAATGAAAGAGGGCCCAGACCGCATTGCTGTTCAGAATCCGCAATGAGGTGAACAATGGATCATCCGGATATTGCCTGTCAACTGAGCTACCTACACGCGCAGCGCTAAACGATACTAGGTCGACCGCCTCCGCCCTCTAGACCGAGGTAAAATGTTTCCATAAAACATGAAGCTAATACAACCGTGTTTGATGTGTATTCACTGTCTTTTTCCTTTTTAGACAATAGAGAGCTTTTTGTCTGGTATTGTCGTACATTCCACAAATGCAACATACCTAACTAGTAACTTTATTTATGATTCTATAGTTACTTATACTTTAAGTTTCGAATTCACTTTATGTAATTTTTTGATGTCACATCTTCCTTTTCAACATGTCGGTAATGCCGATCAGAATACAATACTGACTATCACACTATATATTACAGGGACGGCTGTTCTACGAATACGTTCCAAGAAGACCGCCCCTGGGCCGGACGGAATACCGGCCCGAGTGCTGGAAGAGCGGGAAGCTGGTCCTATTGAGAAAGTCGGGACGGCCTGCCAATTCGGTCGGCCTACAGGCCCATCGTATTGCTGAACGAGGTGGATAAATTGTTTGAGAGAATCCTCTCTGCCCGCATCGTCCGGCACCTCTGCGAGATGGGCCCCGATTTGTCGGACGCCCAATTCGGTTTTCGAGCGGGGCGTTTTTACGATCGACGCTGTGTCGCGCCTTAGGACCGTGGCCGAAGAGGCGGTGAGCCGTGGCGGCGTGCTGTTGTCGGTGTCGTATGACATCGCCAACGCATTCAACAGTCTGCCATTCAGCTGGATCCGGGAAGCACTTCACTATCATGGGGTGCCAGAGTACCTGAGGCGGCTAGTAGCACACTACTTAGGCCCTTCGAGGTCGAACCTAATTTACTATCCGTGTCCGCCAATACCGAGCAAAACCATTATTTTAAATCTTTGTTTTTTTTTTATTAATATTAATGTCCATGGCTATGTCAGAAGCATACTTTGAGTTTTCCTGTCAATTTCTTTAATAAACGTCGATCATGTTATTCCGTGATTAAAGTTGATTTCTATTAAATTACTTTGTTGTGTTTGTAGGCCTTGTCCTTCCTCATCGTATGTGGCGTATCCCCACCTCAATTGTGGCAGATAGTGTCTTCTTTCAATTATATTATCGTTAACGCTTGGGGCAGAATTGCTCACAGCAGATTTTCTTCAAATTATATTTCAAAGAGCAATACTCAGAAGATATTTTATTTATGTATCAATATCGAGAGGTTATAAAGGTTGACAAAAATAAATGATCCACAAAGCATCGAGGACAATCTTAGAGGGAAGGGTCACCCGAAACGCGCGAAGAATTCACAATGAACGAGGTCGAATATTTATCATTCGTTCAGCTATCAGCAATTAGATTGGTGCGTACAGATACGTGCCTCTCTACAAATGAATAGGCAAAATATTTTTCTAGTCATGCAGGGTAAAGTTTTATCTTAAGGTTAATCTATTAAAGTGTGCTATGAGTGCTATCACTGCACGAGTTGTTTATAGATGAGACAAGCAGGCCAGGAAATTTCAAAATGAAAACACAGTTCTAAAATATAATTAACACGTTATTGTGAACTGTCATATAAATTATATTATATATATTTCCTACGTCAGGTAGGCAACTTTTAAGTCTAAGAATTGTAAGAATTTTTTAGGTAAAAGTTCATAGTGATATTTCAAATTTAGATAATTATTCGCATTAAGGTATCTCTGTCAAGTTATCAAGTGTTGAAAATAGTGGTGGAAGCCGTGGAATGTGGTGGAGGAACGACTATTTAACAGCACATAGCGGTGGCCTCTGTTCTTGTAAATTGTAAACTGGACATCTCGATCTGTTTGTGTTCTTCGTTTCATAATTACAGAGGTTATTATACTATTATTATTATACTACTACTATTATTATTAATATATATATATATATATATATTACTCTGTAAATCACTTTACCCTATAAAAAAACGGAAATATATACTAACTACGGTTGTGTATACTGAATGCAAAAAAGTCACACATATACACATGCGTAAGTATACACGTTATATTAATCTGTTTTAGCGTATTGATTTTATTACAGTCTAACTCTACGAGTAGGTATATAAGAAGCGTTGCAATAACAGTTTTGTATTCGAAGAATAAGTTCATTAAAGTTTTATTTATAATAAGTTTCATCAACTTGAGTTTCCTCACCGCGTCGGACAGACAGTATGTTGACATTAATTCATATATATCGGCGCAACCGACTCACCTAATTTTTTTTATTGATTTAAATTAGATTTCAATTAAATTTTTAATAGTTAGTATTAAAAAATAACCTAAAGAATAATATAATCTAAAAACACCAAGAAAATACTAAACTTAACCTGACTACTTATAAACACAATGCGTCCTTTAGTGAAACCTTGGAACACATCTTTTAATTGTATTTACTGTTCTGTTCAAATGTTGTCTTCATTTACTACCGTCAGACCGTACTGGTCTATGTAGAACTCTTAGTAAGGACTTGGAATACATCTTTAATTGTATATACTATTGTTGTTATTTCAGGAGCTTTTATGAAAGAAAACCACGATGTAAAAAGTCAGCTTAGCTGATGTCACTCTTTTTAGCAACCGCAAAATGGTGTTATGATATGTGTTTAGAGTTTTACCGTCATTTTATTGATAGAAAAATGCCACCAGTGAGGCGTCAAAATATCAATCAAATCAAAGCGTCAATAGTAAAACAATTCGAGTCTACAATCTTCGAGACAATGACACTGATGACTGACTGATACAATGACTAAGCAACGTTTAGACGTAAACAGAATGAGAATTTCTAAAGCGAGATATACCACGACTCCGGCAGAACCCATACAGTCGACTTTAAGCAAGGGGCAACAAAACAGACGATCAATGTACAATGACAATTTCCTATGAACGTTTGGCATTTAGACATAATACAACAGTCGATTACGCCGGCGATAAATTGGTCGATTTTGGAACAATGAGCATTGTATATTGCAATGCTTTGAGGTTTCGACTCGAACTGCCAGGATTACGTTGTGCGAATCGAAAGGAAAGTTACATCAACTGACGACGCCACCTGAACCAAAATTCATTACTTTTTCAATTAGCGCTGCTTCTCAACCCAAAATTTCAATCACACTTACACCGCACGTATGTCAACTTCAGACACATTCTAGCTGTTGCTGTCCACTAATTAATAATGTTAATAATATAAAGTATCTCGGTATAGTTATAGACCGAAACTTAAATTTTAAACCACACATAAACACCTTGATATGAAAAGTGCGTAAATTAATATATATTTTTGAAACGATTAGCTATGTTGCTAGCAAATTTTAATACTTGAGGTATACTACGCTCTTTGTCAATCTATATTTACTTATTGTATCTCTTGTTGGTGTGGAGCGTGTTAAACTATTATCTGCCTATTAGAAATAGCGCACAGAGTCATACTGAAGATTGCGACTTTCAGACCGATTCTATATTCAACAGCATTGCTTTATAGATTGTAGATTCGAACTATTCTCTTGCAACATCGCCGTCGTAGAGATAAAAATTGTTCCCGGCCTAGGATTAAATATACTTTCACAAAAAGATTTTTCTTTTATCTTGGACCATATTTATATAATAAAATAAATGCAACAACGTTTATATACAATCTATCATATTATGAATGTATAAAAGTGATAAGTTTCTTCAAAATATGAAACGAAACCATTACATTTGGTTTTTTGAGGGAACGAAATCACTTTTACTATAATAACACAAATGTATACATGAATCAGGCACACGCACACACACACATGCACTCACAGATACACAAGTTCTTAGTTATAATAGTTGTTAGTATTTACATGACTGATATGTTTTCAAGCACTGTATTTATGATTTCCGAAGAAATGGCACTGTTTCTCTTTACTACAGGCTATTATGTAACCTATTTAAGAAGACAGTACTTTAACCACTGAGTGTAGTTTATATTTAAGTGTTTGTTACATATAAGTTAGTTAATGTATTGAACTGCAGCTCATTATATGAAATAAATGCTTTTATTATTGAAAGAGATACATGGTGATGGAGTGACGAGGTACAGAAAGCTCTAAAAGAAAACAGTGCCTTTAAAGCGTGGAATAATTAAAAGGGGTTTGAGAGAATGAAGGAAGTCAAAATGAATGAATATAAAAAGTGGAAGAAAAAGGCAAAAAAGCGGGAACAGGAGCAGAAGCTCAATACAAAATGTTTAAACACCTACATGAACCTAAAGGTCAAAAAGAACTCTACCGCATTACAAAAAACAGGGAAGAAAGAGCCAAAAACCTAAAGCATGTGAGATGCATAAAAGATGAAGAGGGGAGAGTGTTGGTTATAGATGAAGATATAAAAGGGCTATGGAAAACTTACTTTGAAAAACGTATGATGAATAAACATACATAATAATGAAGAGAGTAGATGTGAATGTTGGACTGGTGAACGAGATTAGTATAGATGAAATCAGATTGGTAGTACAAAGTATGAAGCATGGAAAAGCAGTTGGCCCCGACGGTATACCAGTAGAACTTTGGAAGTTACTGAAAGAAGACAGATGTGAGTGGCTGACTCTATTCTTCAATATGTTGTTGCATGAAGAGGTAATCCGAAAGCATATATTTGCAATGCGTCAACTATGAGAGAAATACGGGAGTGTATATAGATTTGATTCGTGCTGTGTACAGAGAGTCTAGCACTCATGTAAGGTCGGTCACGGGAAACACTGATCAATTATAAGTATCTCTGTAGGCTTAGCTGAACCAACGGGACTGTCAATACTAACTACTGATTGTCTATACTGAAAACTAATAAAGCAACACATTTACACATACACGCATATTAGTCTGTTGTAGCTAGCATATTGATGAATGAGCAATTATGATACCTACGGTCTGAATCTACGAGGAAGTATATAAGAAGCGTCGCAATCAAGTTTTTTTCAGTCAGTTTTTGTGTTCGAACAACTTCATTGAAGTTTTATTTAAAATGAATCTCATCAGTTTGATTTTCCTCGTCGCGACGGCGGCGACTACACTTTGTGCTCAAGAACCCAGATTCTATAATTTAGAAGATGCACCACAACTGTTCGAAAAATTTATCGTAGACAACGATAGGCATTACAAAGATGAGGCTGATAGAAAACAGCATTATGAAGCATTTCTGAATACTCTGAAGTATATAAACGAAGCCAACGCAGAACAGTCGGATTACACACTTGGAATTACGCTGTTCGCTGATCAAACTGAAACAGAGAGACGACAACGGCCTAGTGGAATCCGATTCGACTAATAGCAAGTATTTCTTTTTTATTTTTGTTTTTAATGTTAACGTCTAACTAAACAGCCTTTTTGCACTCGTATTAGTAAATGATTTATATTTTGAACCTAATGATGACCTACAGCAGGTCATTAATTGAACAAAAATGTGTGTAATAAAAGATCAATCTCGTAGGTACCTACCCATTATTGTTGGTATACTATTGTCATGTAGATAAACAAGTGCCCAAAATGTGAATTCAGTAATTTATAGAATATTTACATACTTGAATCCTAAGAAAGTGTAACTTACTATTTTTATGTATGTTAACGCCAAGGGTGACAATGTTTTTCATTTAATATTATATGTTAAGGCTCAATGTAGCCACTATACATACATCTTTTTCTTCTTTTTCTTTTTTATTTTCTAATTTATTTTTCTTATATCACTTGCTCAACGTCTTATTTTTCTGGTTTTCAGATAAGATACAAACTACCTGGTATCACTGATCACTGGCCCCTGACGACAGAAATAGAATATTTGCAATAAAAGATTCTTTTACACATGTCGTAAGTTTTTTTTTACAAATCTAGCAAAATAAAAGAATACTTGGAATTTACTTTTTAATGCCTTTATTATCAAACGGTTTTTTTTTTCGAATTGTATAGCAGACTAAAGCCTTACTTTTTTTTTCTTCCTGTGCGGGAATCCCCTCGGATATCACCCACCGGGGTGATTATGTCGGACTCGAACCGACCAAAAACCGCAGGCCGTCTCTGGTGCCAGTAGCCGGGGAACCAGGTGTAACCTAGAAAGGAAATCCCTGGTACCCCAACGTACCTCGGGCCATCCACGGCGTGTGGATGGCCCCCTCCTGTGTGAGAACCCCCATGTTCCCTTTGTGCTCCCAAAAGGGGCGTGCGCGCTCGCCGCCATTCCGACCTGCTTCTGCTAGGGTGACAGATGGCCTCACCTGTCACCCCACCTGCGCTTATGGAGGACGGAGGTCGTTCTGTGACCTCCGGCGTCCGAGTCGTCTGCGGTACCTGGTCCGTTCCCGGGCCTGGCAGGCCGGGAGAGTTCTAGACCTCTCCCGGTCCCGCTCCGCCATCTCCTTCGCAAGCATAACTTGCTCGCAGAATTAGACAGCAGAGTTCCACGCACTCTCGCTTCGTACCATGGCGACAATCATACTACCGAGCGAGAGGACTCCCACCCCGATGTCCACCACGAGGTCACGCCTCTGCTCCACCCACGCCGGGCATTCTGTGGAGGGCCGTGTCCACGGTCCGGCTATCGCAGTGGTGGCACTCACCTGGTGGCAGATCACCTGTGTCTGATCCGCAAGGAGCCAACGTCTGAGTGCCACCACTGCGAATAAAGCCTTACTATTACTAAATTATTTTATTGCGACGGTCAGAATGTCACTGAGTATTTGCTGAAACTCGTGAAAAGCCATGGGACAGACATGCTTTGGCATGTGTGGGGTGATACAACGACGGTCTCACAAAAAACAGGTGTTACTTTAATTTTTCATGACTTTTCACCGAGAAGTATTACCGGAGGCCCCAAATAAACTCGTAGGAAACCACAGGGTTCACCGCGCATGTTCCTCCAGGAGTCTGAGTACAATTTATCTATAACTAGCGATCCGCCCCGGCTTCACACGGGTGCAATGTAGATACTACCAATACTACTAAAGTGGTATCAGTGTGGAGTTATTAATTATACTATTATTATGATAGGACTATACTACAGGACATCTTTAAATGCAATATTTATAGGCCCGCTCCGATCCTGCCGGCCGCTGCCACCCGGGACGGACGTACCTACGGCTCGACGGCCGTTGGACCCCTAATATCTTCTACAACATTCATTTTAATGATATGCTGTGAAGAACAATTTTAATCTACATTAAATGCACAACGTATCTAACGTATTTAATTAAATAAGGAATAATAATGTATTATTTCAAATAGCGTCGTAAATAACCAATTTATTTTTTGTAATATTTAAAAGACAAAATGGTTACTGTGGAATATTTTTAGGAGATAGACAAATACCACCGATGACTTTTTTGTAGATCTTTTTAAGATATACCATTCCGTAGTACATTATTTTAGTCTATCTCGTAAGGTTTAGAAAGTGTTTGCAATGTAAGATGTATGTCGTATAACATAGATTTTTTGTCAGCAGTTTGGTTACTATAGATAAGTGGTAAGTACAAGTACGAGTACTACCGCCTGGTGTTCAAAATTTAAACTAGTGAAAACGGGTCAGCTGTCATAAGGGTATTGTTATTGTAATGATATGGTGAACTTAAATTAGCAATTATTAAAATAATAATTAATTGGTTGAAAACCAAAGTGAAATTAAAATGGAAAGTATTGTTTATAATTCGGGTGTACGTTTTTGCCCAAGAGAAACTACAAGTAAAGCTTATTGCTGTGTTTATGGCTGTAAGAGTAAAGCTTGTAGGGATTCAGATGTTACAAACAGGTGTGTTCACTCAAAGGCTTTGTGATTATATTGTTCCAAACAAGTATTGCGGGGTGCACTCCAAAAACATTTTCTGTCTGTTGATGAAAAGGTTTTGAAGCAAGCCAAATCGTTACTAAAAAAAATTAGTTAAGTGTTACAATACTATATATGTTCTGAATCTGTACAATAATATTGTAATTGTATTGCGATGTCATTAAAATAAACTTCTTCTTCCTTTCTTATGTAAATAAATAAAAAAATATACAAAAGATAATTCATAACATTTTCGAATGTCATTCATTTTTTCTATAATCTTTACATATATAATTCTTCTGTGCGTGTATATATGACTCAACTCCTCCTAAAGGACTGGACCGATTTTTATGTTTTTTTGTTCAAGTGGATTCGAAAATGGCTTAGATTCACAATTCGGTCCACTACAAAATGTTTTTTTGGTAAAAAAAATTAAGACGTGTGTACAGTACAACTTCTGTGGGGTCCGCTCGTTTTTTTATAAAAACCATAGATTAGTTGAAAAATTATAATTCCAAAGTAAAAATCAAACTTAAACTTATATATATCTTATTATCACTTGACACAAACACTTGAATACCTGAATACGCTGTTTGCTAAAACATAACTATTGAAACATAACATAACCTTTGATTTGATTATAATCAACAATGAACTACTTAGACAATCATTGATTACAATATTCTTGTCAATCATTGATTCTATTCCAAATATCGCTAACATTAAACGATCATTACAATATTTGTGACTTGAACTAAACAAAATATTTTTTATGCTAATAATTACATAAACGGGCCCCATCCAATATACATTTGACATAGGTTGTGAATGCTGGTAGCTTCTACTATCAGATGTTCCACCTGGCCTTCTGGAGACAACGATAGTGACAGCTGTTTGTTTTTCGTCCGTACCTATAACCAATGGAAACGTATTATAAGTCTAAGTATTAAAGTTATATATTTAATGGTTGACAAATAAATAAACAAAGAGTCGGTAGCCAAGAACTATTCTCTTGTTTTGTACTTTTCAGAGAGCTATTTGGGCACATAGACCAGGAAATGTCTTTTACTCGACTTTTTACGAAGAAATGTACAATTTAAAAGTTGTAGATATTAAACATATCTACAAAATGAGACTTGATGCGTTCCAATTGGTTATTTTGTTTTTTACGACATGCAAAAAAACTGGTAAAATGCGTTGTTTTTTTTTTAATATTTTTTAAATAAACAATTATTATTGTATATATATATTGTAGATATCTTTAATACCTACAATTTTCACATTCTACATTTCTTCGTAAAAAGTCGAGAAAAAGTAATTTCCCGGTCTATATGGCCAAATAGATGGTTACTACTGTTTTTGCAACTTTAACAGCAAATTACAAAATAATGGCACGGTTTCAGCTGTTGCATTTTAGTTATACCATCATGATGTACCGAAGGGAACCAAAATACGTCTAAATATCTCGGCTGGCATTTTTTTAAGACACCTATATAGTCGACTACTTTTCTTGGTCTAATAGTTGGGTATCAGTTGTTAAACATTATTTTCGTCATATTCGCCGTTTGCGAACCGGATTTAAAAATTGGTCGATCGTATTAGTATTTAAAGAGAATGCAGCTCATTACAATTTATTATGATTTAGGCGAATCGGAGTCGGTAATAGTTTTCGAAAGGTGAACGATATTATCGCGTGTGTACGTGGCGACTCACCATGCCGTTGAGGCGCTGCTTGATGTGCTGCAAGTGCTGCAGCGCCTGCTCGTTGGTGCGCTCGGCCGCGTCCACGGGGCGCGCGCGGCCCCACGACACGAGCGGGTCGTACACGAAGGGGCCCACCACCGACATGAGCGCGCCGATCTGGGCTCGCAGCGCCCGCATCACTGCCTCGCAACTTTTCCTGACACAGTAAGTATTAGATGAAATGTTGCACCGCGATTTATGGTCCTCTTTGTTTGAAATAAATATTACTTTAAAACGAAATAATATATAGTGAATATTAAATTACACAAGTTAATAATTTTAAATTGACAAAAAAGGTCACAACTGCTTGCCGCAGTTTATGTAGAAAAGTATAATAACTACAGATAATTTATCCATCATTAGAAGATTATTTATTCATCTAACATTTACACAATGTCTAAGTAAATACAAAACTACTTCTATAGAGCTACAATAAGCAACCTTTGTCTTAAACAACAATTACGTAATTTAAATTGCAACCTCCTTTTTAAGGAGAGGCCTATGTCCAGCAGTGGACTATTATGGGCTGTTGATGATGACGATGATGAAATTACAACTATAGCAAAAGGTTTACCAGGTGAACAAACTAGATACGTGGTTAGTAGGTGGCCCAGTCATAGATAATAGCTTCTCCAAATACAGGACGGATAATACGGGCACGGGACCTCGGCTTCTTTAACTGCTTGAGGCCTCAAGCCCGTTTTCCAGTCGCCTCGCCCTATGCGTTCCTTAGCCTTATCTATTTTCTTCCTTTGTCCCGCCAGAAAACTTAACGTTTCAGACAAGCGACCGCCTATAAACGAAACCCTCCAAAACCCTTTGCAATACAACATATTGCACCCACTCCTAATAAAATTGTAACCAACAACAAGAAAGTGCTGGAAGTAGATATGTACCTGAACATGCCGTCATGTCTGAGCGGTCCCATAGCAGCCTCCATGTTGTGCGTGAGACGAAAAGGCACGCGCTCCGGCCATTCGAACGCCTCGCCTTTGTTAAATAAACAGTTGAAGTCCACGTGTACTGTATCACCATTGGTCGAATCAAAAGATATGTTTTCTCCATGTCTATCGCCTAAACCTGGAGGGATTTAAGAAACAATTGCAAGACTTTAATTGCGGTTATAAAGCAGTCGAAAATGGCATTCGTTTTTAAACTTTAAAAGCAACTTACATTTAATATTTGACTTGCCATTACAATACATTCGTCATTTATTTGAATATTTTTTTTAAACTGCCAAATTGCAGAAATCGTTTAAGTGTCAAAAAGTCTGGTTGTATAACTAATATTAACAATATCATGTTCAAAATGGTACTATTAACATTATTTTTCTGCTCAATGATCTTTAACTACCTGTTCTTCTATAATATATTGTTCTCCCAACTTTTTTTCATTGTTTCACGAGGTGCAACACCTCGTGAAACAATTAAAAAAATAGCAAAACTATATCTATTTAACTTTTTAATGATGTCTTACACGTTTATATTCTATCTATATTGCTAAAGCTACTCACCCAATATATATCCAACCATGGACATAACGGCAGTAGTTCTTATGTAAGCCGATCTCGCCTGATACCTATGAAAACGATAAAATATTGAAACTTAAAGTTCGTTCGGTTATTATTTTTTTGTAAAACTTCCGTCTCCACTACTTAATATGTCATAATGAAATTTTGAAAATGAAAAAAAAAACCCTTGACAAAACATTTTTATCCAGGAAAAGTAGTTTTCCTCTGAAACACCTATTTATAAAAATAACTTTCACTCTTCGGACGAAGCCGCTAAAGCTCGCAAAAACGCTAATGACAAATAAGTTGGAAACTTGATTTTCGACTCAACCATTGACTTACCTTGGACCCTTTCTAAACGAAACAATAAAAAATGAGTTTAATTAAGCGTAGAAATGTTTTGTACATAATAATTTTACTAAAATTGCCAATATTTACTCCATCGTGATGGACCGTATCTTGTATTTATTGTTGAAATTCTTGGACACCCGGTTTCTTAGAAATTAAGGAGTACTTGCTATTGCTCTTTTTTTTTTGTTTTCTCAATTAATTGTGAATTGGAACGGAATTTACTGTTTAACAAATTTACAGTTATACTATGTGTAATCTATCCTCGAATATATGAAAAATATTATTATTCACATTTTAACACATTTTAACCTTTACATTTTAACCTTAAAAGGATTACAGTCTAACAAGTATTAGAATGCATCAGCTTGTTCAAAGATCATAGTAAATGAATATTGCATATTATGTGCATTTTACCATCCATAAGGATCAGAGAAGACTCTTCGGAACCATTCTTGGAAAACAGGTGGATGTCGAGGCAGCAGTTGTTCTTCGTAAATTCGCCTCTTCTTCTCAACCGGGTCCTTGTTGGAACACATCATTTCCTTTAATTCACGATTGCTTGTGTGAATACCTAAATATACAAAAAAAAAATAAGCCTTGATAATATATGAACAACAATTTCAATGAACAAGCAAAGACGACTTGTGACCTATAATGAACACTGTTGCTAAAGTAATAAATATTAATTGTATTGCCATCCAATTTAAATTATTTCATAAACCACAAAAACTCATACTAAGAACCTTAAAACTTTAAGAAATAATATTATATTAAGAACTTCGATCCAGTGCCACGTCTGAAAATGTTTGATAAGGCAACAGTAACGGTGATACACACTTGTATTAGTAATGGGGAATTTCTTGAGCAGGTTGCAAAAGTATACGCAAATACCTAATTTATAGAGGTTTACCTTTTTGCTTGTAAATATGCACCAGTATCGGCCTCAATCCAACCAAATTGGGCACCCACTCTATAAGACCACATTCTTCATTTAACGGCAGCACACTGTATGTCCGTATATAAAGTCTACGCCGCCGAGTCTCTGGTGCATCTTGTAGAAATCGATTCACTACTCCATTAAACTCCATCAATCGATAGTCTTTTCGAAGATCGTCTCGAGGTTTCAGCATTATTATGTAAGATTTGCCGTCGGAACCTAAAATAAAATTGATTCACTGGAATTCGTCATGTAACGACAGTCATAATAATCGTAATAGGTACATGACATAGAAGAATTCTGATGACTTTCCAAGGGCCTGAAATGTATTTCGTTAGTGCCTCCACAAAAAAATATTTAAGGTTAACGTATTCTTCTCATTACAGGTATTGTCTAACCTTTGATAATTCGAAACTTAATTAAACCTATGTTAATTTTTTTAATCCGAAGCCTATAGATTCTAATATATGAAATTGTTTTACAATATAACCAAACCCTTAGAGCAGAATATCGAAAAAGACGTAACAGATAACTTATCGCTATATATTAATTGTGGTATAATAACAAAAGGGTTACCTTTTAATGTAACTTTCCTCGGTTTCTGCAAAGATGGTAGTATGTTAATTTGTTCCTCGATACCAGCAATATACACAGGCGGTTCAGTGGGTATGTTAAAATGAATGCGCTCTTGCCGCGCCGCCTTGGATGGTAGCACAATCTTACAGAACTCTTGGAAGGGCATCATTATATGGCTGAAGTTGTCTCCAGATAGAAGACGTGGTAATATTCTGACCAAGGCCGACACCGTTGTTGTCTAAAAATACATAAGTCCTTGAAAGTGGTTTTCGCAAATTTAAGAACAAATTGCCGACCTCTTCCCACTCTGGCCTCACATCTATTACCGGTGGACCAGGTGAAATTATTGTGCGGGCGCGGGCGGTATATATTTGCATTTAATGTATCTTTTCTTTTCCGAAAAAAGAACCGAAAATTAGTAATGTTAAAGATGTTGAAAATATCTGTTCTAGAAAAATTTAAATACTAAGAACAACATAAGAAGAGCACAATAACAATTCACTATACATAAATAGCTGCTGCAACCTCCTTAAAATTTTGTGACAGTTTGTGACTTATTTATTAGATCATAATGTTGCGTAGTGTTAATAAAGTACGAAGGGGACTTACGGAAGAGTTGCCAGTTATTGGTTTATTACAAAGTTCTATCAATTTCTCCGCGAGTAACGTGAAATCGCTGACTAGTTTCAACATGTGCGGTTCCTTCAGCCGAGAGTCCGCGAACACATCACCGCATCGCTTGATGCGCTGAGCATAGCCCGACTTTATCACACACATCATCATCCATAAAGTGTGTTGTGGATATGCCAGTATTAGTTTTACTATTATAGCTTTTAGTTGAAGATATACCTGCAAACATGGGACAGTAAGATTACTTTCTCACAACAAACTGAGTAATAAAACGACTGCACGGATCGCGTAGTAGTTTAAGCGGTCGCCAAACTGAGTATTGTGGGACGACACTGTGTGATCCACAAATTGTTGTTCTGAGTCTGGATGTTCTTTGTGTCCGTTTCATATGTGTTTGTAAAAATCCCCCCCGACGTAGGATATATTCCTTAAGAGGGAGTTAAAAAGCTCTGGCGCATTATATATTTGCAGCAAAAATAGTTTTTTGATTTTGATTTTAAATTATATTTTTAAACTCGCATTCGTTTTTTTTACAGTTACAATGCAATTTATCACCAACCGTATCTATAACATTTATCTAAATACATATTTATATAAATAGTAGCTGCCTGCTTCTGAGTGTGCGAAAGATCGCAACATTTAGAAGGTTGACTAGCAGAGATTACCTTAGGCATTCAATTTGCGTATCTAAATAATGTACATTACATGTTAAAATAAATAAATATTTCTGTTCAGATACCATTCCATTTATGCCCAAGTTTGCACCAAGTAAATTTTTTTTTCACAAGAGCTTGATGATGGTTAATTACAAATCCTTATTATAAAAAAAGGTATTATTCTGTCTCAAATTTGTTATCAAATGTTTAAATACTGACCTCTTTAACAGGGTGACAAATTCTTGATACTATTTGCGAGAAAGCTGTTAAGTAAAGATACAAAGGTAATCTTTCTGAGTAAGTCTTAATAATATCTGTCATTTGTGCTAGCACTGAATGAGCATTTGTGTCCGAGGAAGTTACTTCCACATCTAACCTGCAAAACAAAACAAATTATGTAACCGAAATAATAATTATTATTATTAATTTATTTATAGATTTTAATCTAAAGTTTAACAACTTAAGGTAGATTATGTACTGTTTCTTTGTGAAATCTATTACCATCGAGTTTACATATGATTTAGTGGCAAAGAGTTTTATTTAGTAGAATTCTACCAATTTATGAACAAAATTAACAAATACATTCCGATAAAAAAACTAGCTTTAGTTACATTTTACAATTGTGTTTATTGACAGAATGATCATTCTAATTAATGGAACTAGCGAGAAATAAAAAAAGACTACCAGTCTTTTTAACCGTCATTAATGCTTAAGTGTAACTGCTTTAAAACGTAATACTAACATGAAAAACTTACCATATAGAAAGCATCCTTGGCATACTCTGATACAAATACTTGTGACCGTACTGCAGCGCTTTGCCGTAACTGTTGAGAGCGTATAAACGTCGGGACCACATTGTCCCAGCACTAGTCCCATCGCTGGTGCTCACCTTCTCATAATACGCGCCTAAGCACACCTAGATGAAAATGGTCCCGATGTACACATAAGCACAATCTTTGATCATGTACTACTACTAATCGCTTCGAATACAGTTACATTTTTGCCATCTACTGTTGCATGTATTAAAAAAAAGATGTTCTTTTTTGATTTTACCTGATTACATTAACTTCTTTAATCACGCTTTCCTGCAATCTGTGGAAGTGCTTTGTCAAAAGGGAGGGAAATGGGTAATAAAAAGCACAGCAGCGATACATGGTTTGACCAAGAAGCACGCGTGATCAGATAGTGGGTCAGATGTTACACATCATATGCAACTACTGTAAGTCTTACTAGCTTTTTCTTTTTAATTAAGTACTGATAATTCTATATTTCTTCCATACATGTGGGATAATTCGATTTACTTTATGTATGTACGTCGTATACATAATACATATAGTCTAATAGAACTGTAACACTATTGATGGTTCTCGAATTTTACCCAAAAACGCGGCATTTATTCATACACACATACTGTACTATACTGTTATAATTATTGTTGTAACGAAATTCTGTTAGGGTTCTCAGGAGTATGTTAAGTTAGTTTCATAGAAAATAAAGATTTCATGAAAACATTAAAACATTCAAAAAACTTACCAAGCTCTTCTCCCACTGCTTAAAAACGTCTACGGCTTCTTTGTAATATCCAATGTTAACATCCACATCAACGTTTGTAGTTTCATCGTTATATTTAGCAATGAGCAACTTGGCCTTGGCACAAATTTTTCTGAAATAATAAAAACTTTAGTTTTCCATAAAAATAGTTCCATTTTTATCCACAATTCGTACATTCTACTTCTACAATTCTGAATGTGTACCACATGAATGCTAAGTAATATCACAATTTAGTAGTACATGTTAGATATTATGAAAATATAAACCAATTATTGGGTCATGGCTTTCATATGACAGTGATAATTATAGTCCATTCACTCTAGCCCTCAATCAAGTTCCAAGTATTCGTACTGAACGATAATTTCTGGGCACTTGATTGTTCAGGGTGTGGTGTTTTATCGTGCGTCACTATTTTGTTAACGCGAATGGACTCTAGTGAGTCATAAAAATTAACTGAGCTGTACGAGTATTATTAAACTTACTTTTGACTTACCTTTGGTCATTATTCAGTTGTTCTAACATAGGGTACGTATCGTCTAACCCTCGACGTAGAGTTGTGAATGCTTGTTCATACTGACCACGCGCCCAGTACATTTTAGATTTCTCTATAAATAATTCTTCTGGTTGATATTCTTCTGCGTTTAAAATATACATGTACGACTGTAAATTTAGAAAAAGTAAAACACTGTATAATATTCTTTTAAACTTGTTTCGTTAGTACCGTTCAGATTTTGGAGTAAAATAGGAATGGAAACGAATCCATAGCTATAGCATAGTGAACGAAACAATTAACGGAATAAACTAAACAAAATGACTGTTTTTTGTTACTTTTCGATAACTAAAACTCGACAAAAGGAATGCGGTAAGTCATTGACCATGCACTGTAAAATCACTGGAGGTGCGAGCTAATACTTGTACCAAACTTTTTAAATTCATGGTGCACATACCTACTATTCTAAAAGAACACTAGAAGTTATATTTGTTGTATAATTGTCAATTACAAGATATTGTACACATATACAAAGTTAGGGAGCATTTATAATTTTTTTAATCGAAATAAAAATGAAAATTAGTTACCTGTTGAAAAATTCCAGCTTTCCTTGCATATTTTGCACTTTGTAACCAAAGATCACCAATACAGGCTTTCAATTTGTTGGACGTCATGGGATGCGTCGGCTCTAATATTTGCTATAGAACATCAAAAGTAGAATATTTATTTTTATACATACAGAAATAAATTTGTTTATTTAAACTATCATCATCAACAGCCTCTAATAGGCCACTGCTGGATATAGGTCTTTCGGTGGAAAGGAGGTTATGGTCTACTATACCACGCTGGCCAGACGGGTTGATATAGGGTTTATGTCAATGTCGCTAAGAGACAAGGGCACCAGTGCCCAACATACAGCAGCCCCCTCTCGGCAGCTACACATCCAGATATGTAGCTGCCGAGAGGGGGGGGGATCACTATATATGGTGTATACTTCTCCCCCAACCGGAGTTTGAGCGACTTCAAGGTTTTCCTAACCAGCTTGGAGACCTCGATACGGCGACTTTGCGTTGAAGTCTCCCAGGACTTCAACGCAAAGTCCATTGCGTGGGGTTCCCCCAGGACGGACGCAAGGGGCGAGGCCGTAGAGGAGTGGGCGCCCTCGGTGGGCCTCTGTCTTCTCAACAGAGGCTCCACCAACACGTGCGTGTGACAGCAGGGGGGGGTCGATAGTGGACCTTTCGTTCGCTACCCCTGCCCTCGCCGCACGAGTAAGGAACTGGCGTGTCCTGGAAGAGGTTGAGACGCTCTCGGATCATCTCTATATCCGATTTGAGCTCTCCCGGACCCAGGACTCCAGTAGGGGTCACGTGGCGCGGCGTTTATCCCGCTTTCCGCGGTGGGCTGTTGCCAGACTGAACCGGGACCTACTAGAGGAGGCAGCCATAATTCACTCGTGGCTGTCTCCTCAGGCTCCGACCGAGGAGGTCGACGTGGGGGCTGGTCGCTTTCGCGATGCGATTACGCATATCTGCGATGCGGCCATGCCCCGCATTCGAGGTCGTCGGCCTCCAAGGAAGGAGGTCTACTGGTGGTCCCAGGAGCTGGCGGACCTCAGAAGCCGGTCCTCCTCACCGTGGAGACGGTGAGGAGGACCGGCTTCATGAGGAGTACCGACAGGCGCGGAAAACTCTGCAGCTGGCCATAAACCGCGCCAAAGAAGAAAAGAGAGAGGAGATGCTGGAGGGTCTTAATCGTGACCCCTGGGGTCACCCTTACCGAGCGGCGCGACAAAAGCTCCGCGCGTCTTACGGAGACTATCCAGCCCAGCTTCCTGCGAGAAGTGGTTGAGGGCCTTTTCCCGCAACGAGCGGAACACACATCCCCGGCGATGGCCTCCTTGGCCGGAGACGACGGGGAGCACGAGGAGGATGATGTTCCGCCCGTCCGGGACTCGGAGATAGGGGCGGCTGTTCTACGGATCCGTTCCAAGAACACCGCCCCTGGGCCAGACGGGGTACCGGCCCGAGTGTACCTCTACGAGGTGGGCCCCGATCTGTCGGACGCCCAATTTGGTTTTCGGGCGGAGCGTTCGACAGTGGACGCTGTTTTGCGCCTGAGGGCCGTGACCGAAGAGGCCGTGAGCTGTGGCGGCGTGCTGTTGGCGGTGTCGTTGGACATCGCCAACGCATTCAATAGTCTGGCATTCAGCTGTATCAGGGAAGCACTCCACTATCATGGGGTGCCAGAGTACCTGAGGCGGCTGGTCGCAGACTATTTAGAGGAGCGTACCGTCATGTACGAGGACCAAGGTAGGGCTTTGAGGCGTCGGCCCATGTCGTGCGGTGTTCCGCAGGGGTCTGTTCTTGGGCCACTCCTGTGGAACATAGGTTACGACTGGGTCCTTTGTCCGCTCCCCGGGCTGTAACCAGCGTGTCATCAGCGAACAAATAACGCCCAGCCCGGGGGGCGTTATTTGTTCGCTGATGACACGCTGGTTACAGCCCGGGGAGCGGACTTTCAAGAGGCCGCGCGCCTAGCCATCAGGGGAGTCTCTCTGGTGGTCGGGCACATTGAGGCGCTGGGCTCTGTCCTCGTACCGGTTCGGGCTCAGATGAAGTATCTGGGTCCGATTTTTGACGGGAGATGGCTCTTCGACGAGCACTTCCGACAGCTTGCTCCACAACTGGTCGACGCTGCATCTGCCCTAGAGCGACTTTTTCCCAATTTGGGTAGACCCAGCGTCGCAACAAGACGGCTAAACACGGGGGTAGTCAAGTCAATGGCACTGTACGGTGCACCGGTGTGGGCGGCGGCTCTGACCGCCCAGAATAGGGCACGGGTCTGGCGCCCTCAGAGGATATTGGCTGTTAGAGCCATAAGCGGTTACCGCACCGTATCGACGGAGGCGGCGTGCGCATTGGCCGGTACTCCCCCGGGAATTTGGAGGCGGAAGTACTCGCCAAAGTATATCGGCGGACGGCTAAGTGCCGGGCGGATAGTGGCAGTAGGCCCCGCTCGAAGAGATACACGACTAGCGTGAGGCCACTGCGATTGCAGTGAGGACTCGGCTCAGTACATGCTGGCAATTTGCCCGGCTTGGGCGCCGCAGCGCCGGGTCCTCATTGCGGTCATCGGGGGATCTCTCGCTACATTTTCCCCTCCACCCGCCATAACGGCCAGCCGCGAGGAGGCGAGGTCAGGCACACGCGGACGTCGCCTCCTCGCGGCTGGCCGTTAAATGGAGAATGTACCCGAAGATGGTGCCCGCACCGTAGCGGGCAGGCGTTAGGCGGGGTTCGGATGTCTTAATAACAGTAGTTCCCAGGTACCTACTTTTACAGGCGCAGAGTGGCACACCGTGTAGTTTTAGTCGGTCCGAGTATACACACCACCCCGCCGCAAACCCCGGTGGGGTGACGGCCCGAGGGGATTTCCACACGTCAAAAAAAAGGCTTTAAGTGTAATACGATACGGCTGACAAAATATTTAAACAATGCTGTAAATTCAAAAACATACTGTAGACCAGTAAACGCAGGGCAGTTTCTTGTGCCAGATCTTTAAAAAAAATACAAATCTGTATGATACATCTTAAATCAAATCTTAAATATAATAATTACGTTTAATTAAAGTCCCTCCAAAGTCTTATTTGTACTTTGTACCTGTGATTGCTGCAAAAGTATCCTGCGTAGTCTAAGCAGGGGCTCGATCGTTCTCACGTCAGACTGCACAACCGACAACCGTCTTCGCCATTCATCTAGTAATTGTTTCAATATTTCACCACTTTCTCGATCTCCATCTCTTAGTTCCTTTAACCTACATTTATAAGAGGATCAGTCACGAGATGAGGAAATCAATCCGTAATCCTTTCCCCCACTGTCTTGCATTTTGCAAAATGTTATAATAGACAAGATATTTTTATTAGGATATAACTTTGTCAACAATAAGATAATTATCTGGAGAGTATAAAAAAATTACCAAAATATTTATAAAAATTAAAAAAAAATATTGGCTGTTCCAAAAATTCTTAAAACTTGGTAATATACTTATCAAGTATGAATAATTATGCTATTTCAAAAATTGACACGTTGATGATGTTTTAAGTCCTGTGACTACAAAATATTAACTTTTCTTCGATATTTTTTGAATATTATAATTTAACCATAAACAACTCTTGTGTCAATAACGTATTAATTTATAACTATTCACACTTTCAGCATAGTAACAAATAAGTGTAATGTAAACAAAACATGTCCCGTTACCTTTGCAATAATTCTTCGGCGTGTCCAGTTTCGGTCACAATGTGCAGTCCTAGTACACTTTGATAACCACTCCTCAAAGCACTCTCTCCCTTACTTTCACCGTCCATTTGAGCTAACAGTCTAATTGTTGTATCTTTACAAGAAATAAGAAAATTACTATGATCTTCTTTGCGGTAGGCTAGGAGGATTCTACCCATTAGAAGGCCCCAGTTTTCTTTAGACGGTGGCTGAAACACACCGTAATAATATTGGTAAAATAAAAATACCCAATAAAATCCAATACTTCTTGGAATTCTTCTTTAAGTCGATAGATTGAAATCGCATACAAAAAATGATGGATTTATTTCCTTGAGCACCCAGAAGAAATGTAAAAACAACTTACAACAGGTTTTTTGACCAACTCTTCAAGTTGTTCAAATCTACCGAGCCGCCACAACGGTTCGGCTGACAACTCCATCATATCGTCTTCGGATTCGTGTTCACTCAATAAACGGTATGCAGTAAATGGTTGATCTAGCCCAAGATAGCAGTCTATCATGCCCTGAAAATATTTGCATATTTTTTTATCAAAGTAGTTATAAAAAATAACGAAACAGTTTTTGTAAAGGCGTGGAGCACATTTTAAAACACCCTGGCCCACGGAAGCAGACCAGGCCCTGTAAGGCAGGAGAAATACGTAAAGTATACCTGTAAACTACGTCTATCCAATTGTCCCTCCTGCGCTAAGCGTTCGTAACAAAGCGCTGCGTCTTGTAAGCGACCCGTCACTACTTGAGCCAGTATTAATTCTTTCAATGAAGGTTCAGACCTTTTCATAGATAATATGCCTGCAATAAGCAATACAGTTAAACAAACTGCCTTTAATACAATGCAATTAAAATGTAGAACAAAAAAAATATTGTCTCACCAGCCACTGAATCCGGTTCATCAAGTAATGCGTATATTTCAGCTAGAAATGGCAGTTGTTCTTGCATCTTGTCTTTCTGATCATCCATGTACAACTCTAAGTATTGTAACGCTCTTTCTAATTCGCCGCAGACGAAGTTGCCGCGGGCTATAGTCAGCTTGTCAAATTTATCTAGGAATGATGATATTGCCCTGAAAAGTATAAATACGTACGTGATAACAATTCTTTCATCCATACTTTTTTTTCTTTTTTCATTCAGTTTAAATTTACTACTTGAAATATGTTACTAAGCTCTGTACAATTTCTAACTTTAAACCCTTCAATCCAATCCGATACATACTTGTAATTGTCATTATCCAGTGGTCTTTGCTTTGAATGGCACCACTCCAATAGCCATCTGTTCAAAAAATCTAGCAAGGTGTATATAGTTTTACTGCATTTGCTCTGATTGCCTTCCTCGGCTTGTACAGAATTGATACTGGGTGTCATTCTGATGTGACGAAGTATTTTATACTTGGACCTTTCCGCTGCTACAGTGTTTTCGTTGTCAAAGTTCTCCAAACCTGTAAGAGCGTTACGTTATTTTAATCTCTGCTTTCTTATCATTAACGTCCGTGTAATTAAGTTACGCGCACTTACTGATAACAGCTAGAATTTCTTCTTCTATATATTGAGCGTTGTTCTTAGACATAACAGCATGTAGCAACACATAGGGTAGGAATAAAAATAATGTTCTGACGTCACGACGCATGCTCGGGTGCACTGTCCGCAAGAGGTCGCGAATGCTTTCAGATTCTATTAGAGGAATGAGTTGACCTGCCCAACTAAAAGAACGTTAAAATATAATATTATAAAATATCTGTCTTAAGAATATATCGCATGAGTATGCTGTAGCAATTGAAGTGGAATATAAAAAAAAACTTACTTATGAGCCCATTCCAAAAAAGTCGTCGCGTAAGCAGACCCAAATAGGGGGTGCGCTTTTTTAGGCTGAGATGGATACGCCAGTGTATATCTGCAAGAAAAATGTCATCTTACACAGTGCATAACGCTACGTTGATACAACTTTTAGAATGTGATAATTGTTGATATACATACCTTGAACTTAGTAAAGGTTGCATTATTTGATGCATATGTTCTGGGAAACTGTCCCAAACATCTTTCTTACTGCCGACAGGAGAAATGTCGTAGACCTTCAATATCTCTTGAATTGTTAGAGCATAGCAATCCATATTCTAAAAGAAATTAATTGCATAACGTACGTTACTATACTTTTATTAAACACTTCAAATTTAAATAGAGTAACATTCAAATATTCATACCATGGTATCCTTCTCATATTGAAAAGCTCTGGAAAGTTCGACAAGCGCAGTAGCAGCAAAACAGCTGTCGCCTATAGAGAATGCAAAAGGCGACCTATCGGCTTCGACGTATTGACGAGGTAGATGGCCTGCTTCTATAGCACCTAGTTGACCTAAGCACGCACCACTTGTCAGGCTCACTTCACTATCTGAGTCTTTACAACCTAAAAAACAAGTCCTAAGTCAATCAATCGTTTGTAGTTGTAAAAGTGTTTCTATGAAACTACTCAAATATGCTCTTACCAAGAAGCAAGGAATCAATGAGCTCTACTATAAGAGGGTCGATATTTTTCCCTCCAAATATTGCTTTGTGTATCTCAGTCCTATTACTCTTCAAGAGCTTATCCAAATGGGAGAACGCAAATGCTTTTATTCTGGGTATATCATGGTTTAAGTGTAACAAGTACCATTTTATTTTGTCTAAAAAACCGTCAGGTTGTGTCCTCTTTACATGCCTCTTTATAACTATCTTTATTTTTTCTGATACTTTAGTATCGTCCAAAAAGAATAGGTCAGATATGTGAGAGCTCAACAAATTCTCATTACTCAACACTAAGTACTGGAATATTTTATTGATTTCTTGAGGAGCGTAATCTAATTGTTGGAGAAGTGACACTGCTAAGTTAGATAATAGCGGTCCTAAGAAAATGGTATCGATATTATAAATGAATGCACCCCAGGCCTCGGCCAAAATCTTCGGAAATTCTTTAGCCAATGGAAGAGCAGATCTCAACGTCGCAAGCACTTTAAATCTCAACGGTGTCAAGTACTTAACTCCCATCAATTGCATTATATCGGGAAAGCTTTTCAATGCTTTTCGCTTCACTGACAATGCTACTTTAGCGTTCACCAGTTTGTGATCAAAATATGCTAGGATTCCTAAAAATTTCGGGTTCAAGAAGTCTGCAATTTGCGATGTGCTTATACTCATGTTTCCAGAGGGTGCTGATACATCAGGGTCATGACAAGAAAGATATCTACAAGCGTTCAATACCTTTTCTGAGTCGCAACAATATTGTAGTAAAAATTCCGTCAGTATAACCCTGAAATGTCTCCTGATTAAATTCAATACCGGTGTTTTTGTTAACCTCTCAATGATAGCATAGCATTTCTTACCGACTTCCTTACTTTCATTTAAATATACATGAACGTAAATGTGTGGGAACCTTTCTATGAGAAAATCCGATACAGAACATTGTACTAAAGACGCAATTTCCTCAATCATAGAAGGGACTTCTTTGATCGTAACGGCATAAGGCATTAAATAAGGTAAAAAATGATGGACGTCCTTAGAAATGAAATCCCGATACCCTACAAATCCGAATGCTCTTACAACCTTTAACAAAGAAATAGCGAATTCTTTTCCACTGTATAAGCTGCATTCCACAAATAATTTGCAATAATCTTTTTTGTATCGATGATAAACTTGATTTGGGGTATATTCATGGCTTTCACACACATCTCTAAGACTTACTACTGCTTTTGGACCAAGAGAACATTGCGGATGCATGATGAAGTAAACAAAAAGCTTTGTAGCCGGCAATATGACTTTGGTATTGGAACATAGACCAAAGTCCCTTATAAGATTTAGTGTGTCTGTCTGCTGTGTGTGATTATTAGTTTCTAAACTTATTTGTGTGGATTTAACAAGTATATTGACACATAAACTGAATGCCGATTCCAACTGGGAGTTCTTTTCTGAATCTTCATTTATCTGCAAATAGACAATGAAACTAGAACTATTTTCTTACCAACTCATACGTTAGCTTCATTCTGTTTCGTATATTTGTGCCATACCCTAGGAACTATACTAAAACTGATATAGACTTCTTCGGTAGAAAAGGGGACTAATTTTGAGTAGAATTACTACATGAAACAGTGATTTTAATTGTCTACCACCTACCACTTGTTCTTCAACTGGTTAAATATTAACTTTTAAACTATCGCATCCCTAGATATATAAATCTACCAGGTTTTGCCCGCGGCTCTGGCCGCGTGTATGTCGGTTATCGAGGTAAAAAGTAACACTCAGGGATAATATACCATTCTAACAGTAAAAGAATTTTCAAAATCGGATCAGTAGTACTGGAGATTATCCTGAATATACAAACTGACAAACTTTATAATATTAGTGTATACCGTCGTATGTACCGTCGTAGTACCGACCGTCTGTGACCTGACCACGGCCAGTGTAACGCGGTCGAAACTTCATGCAATTCAAGAACTATATCTAATATCTGCTAAACTCGTTAATTGCAATTCATTAGTAATAATTGGTTAATTTTTTTTTTATTATTTACAAATAGATACTAGAAAATTATATAGTCAATTAGCCTATTAGTTGCTTTTGTAGCAGATAAATTTCCTTTTTAAGGAAGGTGTAATTTAATATATGAAAACAAGACAGAAAAAACCTTCACTAGTCGGCAATATGGGTTCATTCAAGGACAACTGTTAAGAAGTTTCAAGTTTATTATTATTACAAGCCTCCACAATTAGGATACTAATAAAAACAAATGTTCTACTTACTGAATTGTCATTAACCATAGACCCAAAAGCTCTTAAAACATGTTTTGCATTATCTTCATTTAAAAGTTCTTCAGAAACTCCATACTCAAGCACATAGAAGTGATTACAAAGTCTACTTAAGAGATCCCAGTAGCCATTTTCTACATCCACGTATTGCTTCCAGTTCAAAAATTTCACAAACAAGTTTTTAAGACTAGTAATAGTAGAATGCTGACTTGGTGTGTATGCATTAGATTCTGAATATATTTCAATTTTGTACTTATTAATTTTCTTTAAAAATTCAATAGGATGTCTGCTTTTATCTAAAATATGACATTTAGAACAAACCAGTAGCAGATTTATCTTGATGTTGGTAAACAAGTGATGCCCATAGCAATTTTGTGGTACACAAATGATAACATTATAAGAATCCAATGTCATGCAAGCCATCACTGATATGACTTCAGCAACTTCTTTCTGGATATTAGGGTCTTTTGTAAGGAAGGCTGGCATCAGTATGTCACCGATCAGTTTACTTGCTGATAATATTTTGTTTAATACTAGAAGTGGGCATAAGGATATTATCTGGAAAAGAAAAATAAATATAACAGAGTTCTCAAATAAACAGAAATTAACATTTAATATTAAAAGTGATTGTTTTCTTACTACCAAAGCTCAAACCATGCAGAACTAATTATATGGTTAAAAATATAATTACATTTACCTTAGTAAATACATATATTTTATACATAGTCATTCCCAGACTAATGCAAACAGACATTTATGCGTATAAATATTTGCACTTAGCGGGCATTGAATTAGTGAAACCTTGTGTGGCAGTTGAATACACTGGCACTCAATTAGATACTATAGATACTGCTATGATAGCTAAGAATATACTTACTTCTTTATACATATTTAAACTCTTATTTTTTATGAAACTGTTCACTAAGTTACTTATGATTCTGACCCAAACATCACTGAGTTTAACATTCAAGGTAAGTCGTACAATCATCATATACCTTAAGATAATTAATTTGATGTTGTCACTGTATCCTAAATTTAGTTCAGAAAACTGTGGTGTGGTTTGTAGACATAGTAATTGTAGTACTTTGCTAGATTCTTCTTTAGGTATACTCCTATATAAAATAACTGTACTTAAAAGTATATTCATGAAGGAGCTATAACAAATACTATCACCAATTATAATACTTTTATGGTATTCTAAAATTTTCAGTAATGAACTCCAAATTGTAAGGACGTCATTTTTTGATAGTATTGCTATATTAGATCTTCCTTGCAGGCTGTAATTATGTATACAAACATTCTGTAGTATTGCTAAACCCGAAAAACACCTCTTCAAATGATAGCTGATCAAAAATATATCAATTTTATGATCTTCACAAGTCTTTAGAGCCATAATAACATTTAGTGTTTGATTGTAAAACCAGTTTTCTTTGAAATTGATAGTTCTCTCATCTTTTTTATTCATATCAATGTGCTGTAATATTTGCTTACAGTAATAATCTTTGAGGGTTTCGATTTCAGCAGCATCAAGATTTGACAAGTCAATGATATCCCTCGAAAAATCTAATCTTTTACTTAATGATAAGCATTTTAATTTTAAATCATTATTGAATATCTTGTTGCCCTGTGTCCTAAGAATAACTGAACATATATTCAGAAGAACAATGTCATTACCATTCTCAATGCAATTTTCTTCCTTTATCATTAATGTAATTAATATTTTATTAAAACTGTCTAAATATATAGCATCAATTTCACCTTTTTCATAGTATAAACTTGTTGATTTTACAATAGCTTCAAGAGAATTTTCAAAATCAAGAAAGATGTTTGGGAAACATCTATTAAATTTGCAAATACCAATTTGATCATAATTATTAATTAAATTGATGAAAAACCTTACTGTGATTAACTTAATATTAACATTGAAATGGTCAAGTGTATACAATATTTCTTTGAATAATTTTTCATACTCTGTTTTATTTTTAATAATGTGAATGGAATTTGTTGCTAAGCTGTCTGAAAGTAGTTGCAAAGTAAAATCAATTAATGTTATACAAGTTCTGAGATCTTTGACAACTACATATATTGGTTCCAAGTTTAACTGCACATTAGAAATATTGACTTTTTCAGGAGTAAAGTTTTCTAGTATCATTTCATTTGAGGCTTCCCTTGGATTCTCTTTGTAATACTCGATAAGCTTAGTAAGTATTTTGAAATATTCAGAATGTAGTTTATTATAAAATGATGCAGCATTCATACATAGTATATTTAGTATTTTTAATTGAGCATCTTTACTGGTGATGTGTATTCTGTAAGGTAAATATCAACATTTTTAGGAACACAATTTCATAATAACATCATTTTAAAAGATTAAACCATATACTTTTTTATAGTCAAATTACCTGTTTAACTCCTTAACAGACCACACATAAAATAATCTGCCAATCAACCAAGTATTAAATGCATTGTAATATGAATCTGGATATTTTGAAGAACCAGGTCTTGGGACCAACACCTCAGAAAAATCGCTAAAAATAATAATTTTATTACTTTTTTACAAAGAATTACAAGTATTGTTTTCGTTTTTCCTCTGTTAACTGTAACTATTAACTGTTAAGAATTAACATTATTATAATATCAATTCTTGAAAATTGTTTTATTTAAATATATAGTTTGCTTACCCTGATAACTTTAATATCGAAGTTAAAAGTCTATCTAAACCATCAGCTGCATGTTCCAAATTATTAAACAAGACCATGGTTGGTGCATTAAACATTTGCCATACAGTAAACGGCCCATCCTGAGTATCGTCTTCCATAATTAATATAATTGTGGATCTCTCTGAGAATCAAGAATTTAAACAATTTGTTTTTACTATAAAAAATAAACATCTAACTCGATAGTCAGCTGAAGTGTATGATGTTTATGTTTACCTTTCGCCGGTCGTTCCCGCCGCTTTATGTATTAACATGAATTAATATGCGTTCAGAAATAAATTACTTATTTTTAATACCAAAGGATGAAACAGATAATGTAATTTTAGACTTTTCAGTACCGAACAAAAAATATAGTGTTTGTGTAAAGATTTACTTCTAAAGATCACTTAATCTTTAGAAGTAAATCTTTAAAAAAATTCTGTATCGAAATATCGTGGCTTTGATTGAGAACTTGATTGAAAAAGTCTATAGCGGATCGGAAGTAGATGAGGTAGGAATAAACATGGCAATTCATCATCATCATCAACAGCCTTTAATAGTCCACTGCTGGACATAGGCCACTTCTTAGAAAAAAGATTTAGGCCTACTATACCAAGCTGGCCAGACTGGTAAAGGGTTTGTGTCAAGTTTTCCTTCTCTTTGCAGTGCTGTTGTCCTGCTTAATTTGCTCCCTTAGTTGGCTCTTACGACACCCACGGGATGAATAGAGGTGGTGAATATATCGTAATCATATGATGAAATGATTGGTTCTGGTCACTACGATTTCAGCTGTGACTGGGATTTGGTCACAGACAAAGATAAATGCCATCAAAGATAATCAAATTATTATTATTTTCTTTAGATTTAGATCTTTCGCGAGTCTAGCGCTAGCGTAATAATAAGTCGCAGTGGATTTGTAAATTAGTCACAGGTGTGATTATACATTATGATTTATCACAGATGATTGTGATTTGAATCCATACCTAAAAAAATCTTCTGACCAATCAGTTAGAATACCACAAAAGCAAAATAGTATTATTTTACGAGTAGTTACTTACTTCCAATTACATATATTTTCCCCATTTACCCGCTACGATCTACTGGTTTGGCCACTGGGATTTTTTCCAAAAGTCCCACTGCACTGAAAAAAACTCTCTCTCTATTCTATCTGGCAGTTCCAGTGGGACTATGGATCCGGTAAATCCACTGCACTAGAGATGTGGCTAAAGTGGATGTGTAGGTATTTATGAAATAACATTAAATAATAATATAATTAATTACCTACTTACCAAAAATGAAACGTTTGTTAAATTAAAAAAATATAAATTCGATAATCCTCTGTTCATCTATATAATCTCTATTATTAGTTTTGTTATTATTTTTAATATTTATTATTTTATTTTATTTTTTGGGATCATCTTAACTTTTCTAATACCAAGCCAACCGTAACGCCACCCGCAAGTAGGTCTAGCTGTATTTCGTCTTGTGCGATCATAGAGATATAGAGACCATAGAGTGAACAAGAGCCCCAATCTCGCAATAAAGGCGACGAAAGAGATAGATGCTAAATAGTTCCCTCTATCTCTTTCTAGTCCAGGTCTATCTCTATATATCCAATCGTCATTTTCTAGCTTGCTTGTCGTAACCTTGTTCTGAATCGTGTATAAAAAGGAGCAGACTGATGGTAAGTAACTACCGTTGCCCAAAGACACTTGCAACTCAAGAGTCACAAGTGCATTGCCGCGCTTTGAGTTCCTCCCCCTTTGTTTTTTCTGTGTTGAAATCCCCTCGGATACCACTCACAGGTGGCCATGTCGAACTCGAAACGACTACAAACCGCACACCGTCTCGAGTTTTAGCAGCCGGGGAACAGCCAGATGCCAGCCGGCCCCAGTATGACGAGGGGCCTTGCAATTACTCTTTCAAAGAGTTTGCACATCTCGTCAGGCAATACTATGGGCCGGTAGGCGGATGGTGAGTCCGCCGGGCACCCCTGCTTTCGGATGAGGACCAATTTCCCTGTCTTTCACAATTTCGGAAACTGGCCCCCTGAGTCCCGCTCCCTAGAGTCAGGGGTAGACATGGAAATTATTGCTACTTTTAAAGCATATTCATTTGATGCAATAATTGGTTTTAGTCACAGCGATTTCACATGTGATTGTGATTTCGTCGTTGTAAAACAATTAAGTCGACCATTTAACTTAGTATTGGAGCACATGAAGAGAAGTCTAATCAACTTAACGCTAACTTCGTAGGAGTTTAGCCAGAATATAGGGTCTTGACATGCCAGATTCAGTTCAAGATCAAGCCGACAAAAAAGCAAGAAAAATATGTGCATCTTGTCCATTTCAACTAAATAGAAAATTTACATTTCAATATTACTCTTTCTAATAATATTCAACGGGCCTGTTGTCTAGTGTTGGTTAGTGACGTGTCACTGACTGGCAGGGCCATCATCATGGATTTTAATTTTGATAACATAAAAATTTGGTCGCTTTATCGAAACTTGTCGCCAAATATCAGAATTTGTCACAAGTTCAAAAGTAAAAGGGTCTGCTGGAGTCAGTCTCCCCAGCAGGGCCACGTTTGTATATCAAAAACTAGGGCATCTAGCGAAGATCTGTTTTCTCCCAAATTTAGTCGCTAACTTTTCGAAATCAGTCGCCAAATATCAGAACATGTCAGCCAATGTTTTAAGTTATAAGCGCTTATAGGGGCGCCTGCTGCTTTTGTACTGATTTCGACAAGGTGCTCTAGTTTTTGACATACAAGCGTGGCCACGCTCTCCAGCAGGGCTCCCTATAAACGCTTATAACTTTTGAACCAGTGACCGACCAATTTCGGCAAATTAGTGACTAAATCTTTGTGTTATCAAAATTAAAATCCATGATGGTGGCCCTGCCAGGGTCAGTAACACGTTAGTGACTGCTAAGCGGGGGTCGTGGGTTTGATTCCCATCCAGGACAAATATTGTGTGTTAAGCACGATCATTTCTTCTGTGTCTGATATTTCCCTGTTCTGGGATGGAATTGAATGGAATATTGCTTTATTGAAGAAGTTATGGCTACATGTCGTAGCATAACAATGTCGACATAATAATGTCGATATCCAAGAGAGTCCATATCACAGTACAACAGTTGCAATAAAAAACTTGGTATATTTTTACTTCTTTTATAGGTATGTCGTATTATACATTCTATTACTTAAAATATTATAACAAAACAATTACCATATCAATCAAAGTAATAAAAAATAAAAATATTAGAATTTCTTTTATATTACTATCTAAACAAACTACGAACGACGAATATTTTATACATGTTTGCATTTACATAGATTACAAGGCCATCCTAACTAAAAGAACTATTTACTAAAGTAAATGGGTTGATGGGGATACATTATTAAAATAACATTTTAATTCGTATGATTGTGTCATAATTTGCTGTTAAATTTTGATCTCTAAGTAAAAGCTAAAAGTGAACATAGCGAATATGAATACTCAGCCAATCTGTTCACGGCACAGCTAGTTAGACTTCTTAGGTCTTTGTGAAACTAACGTACGCAGTTGCGAAACATCCTAACTACAATATTAACAATAGGTTACCAATTGTGATTAAAATGCTACAAACTGCCTTAGTTATAAAGGTTACACTCATAATTAGGGTACAAAGATAGATTGATAAATAAGTATTGCAGAAGCCTTTATCGTGTAAAATATTGGTAACAGAAATAGACAATCAATTTGATACATCACGACATTTACAATAATTATAAGTAAAGGCATTCAATGTTTTATTTAAATAACTATAAAAATCTCAAATTTATCTATACATGACAATATCTTGGTTTTTAAACTCACAACATAGCACAATATCTAAGTGCATAATATTATTGCATACGATTTACATTACGTACATTATTAGATCAACTTTTATGTTTTCCAGTCATTTCTTTTATAACAATTATTATTCAGTCGAAACTTATTAACTCTGCTGTGTTATTATTATGTTCGGATTTGACTGGTGTTTGTGCCTGCTGGTTATTAGTCTGAGGTTGTCCATGAGCCATATTATTTAGGATCGGCTGTTGCACTTTTATTTGTCCTGGCACACTTTGTGGCTGCTGCTCCTGCATCTGTTGTCCTGTTATTTGTTGCGGACTCTGACCTTGCAAAGTTTGTCCCGGCGGTAATTGGGGGGCCATTGGTCCCATTTGAACCTGATGAACCATTTGAATTTGATGTGTTTGTGGTCCAGGCAGATGGCCTTGAGGCATTTGCTGGCCCTGAGATACTTGAGGACCTTGGGGCATTTGCTGGCCTTGCGGTAATTGTTGGCCTGGTGGTAACTGAGCCATTTGTTGACCTTGGGGTATTTGCTGTCCTTGAAGCAACTGTTGGCCTTGGCCCATCTGTTGCGGCATTTGCTGTCCCTGTTGTGGTAATTGACCTTGCGGTGTCTGGCCCTGATTTATCATCTGGCCTTGTTGCTGAATGTTTTGTGCCTGATTAGGAATTTGATGGCCCGGCGGCATCATAATTTGCTGGCCAGGTTGTTGCATAACCTGCTGGTTGTGTTGCATTTGTAAATGTTGCATTTGTTGCGACATCTGTTGACCTTGAGTTTGTGGCACCTGTTGTCCCTGAGGTGGAATATTTTGGTTTGCAGGCAGCATGTTATTATTTATCTGCATGCTTTGAGGTTGACCAGGGAACGTTTGACCTTGCATTAGTTGTTGTGATTGTAAAGACAAAGCTTGACCAGCCATGTTCATTTGTGAATGTGGTTGCATAGTTTGACCTTGAGATACTGGCTGTTGATTATTTGGTTGGTTTTGAATATTCATGTTTTGAAATTGAGACACAGGGACTTGTTGGTTACTGGCGTTTGGTTGATTGCCTTGAACAATAGGCATTCTCATGTTCTGCATTTGTAATCCCATCATGGGATTGTTAGGATTCATCATTGTTTGGCCCATGTTTTGGTTCACAGACATTTGAGGCATCATAGAATTTGGTGGCTGTTGAGGCTGATTTGGTAAGTTTTGTTTCGGAAGAGAGACATTTTGTCCATTTGTTTGAGGAAGAGGTTGTCCGGGAAGTCCATTGGCAATGCCTTGGGACAATATTTGATGCATACCTGGTTGTACCGGCATGCGCATTTGGTGCATCTGCTGCAAGAGCATCTGTTGTTGTAATGGCAGTTGCTGTCCAAGTGCTGGCCGTAAGTTTGACTGATTCATGGATGGAGAACTGACGGCACTAGGGTTCATGGCATTAGCTGCAGTAGTAGTAATTCCATATGTGTTACTCATTTGTGGCATGGATTGTATATTTCCCAACTGAGTGTTCATGTTCATTGGCATGTTAGCAGTTGACATTTGGGGTTGTCCAGGAATAGGGACACTGCTTTCTGTGGTAGCCTGTGCCATCATCTGTGGGTGAAACTGAGGATTGCCATAAATTGGTTGATTTGGGTAACCACTTGGGTACTGTTGCATAGAAACACCTGGTATGTAATAACTGTTGGCAGACATTAGATATTGATGTTTTTGCTGTTCTTGTCTCATCTGCATTTCTCTTTCTTGTTCCTAAAAATAAAAATCATTTGCTTTAATGTAATTAAGAATGGAGAGGCTCATTTTTACATTCATCATCTTGGGAACAATTATATAATCGAGTAGTTAATTAGGTAACATTGAACTACTCACAAAAGTAGTAAGTACATATTAAAAAACAAATTTAACAGTAAAGAAAATCAGAAGAAAATCTATAACTTGAGAGTACATCATCCTTAAAAAATATTTCTTAAGTCTGAAAATCTGCGCTAAGGCAGTAGCCGCACAGTGATTCAATCAAAGCAGCTTACCTGAACTCTTTGCAAAGCTAGTTGTCTCTGATATTGCAAGTATTCATGCTTTTTCTTCCGCATTGCCTGCAGTTTAGCAGCCATTTGCATTTGCCTCTGACGCTCGGCTGCCTCAGCCTGGGCGGCCAACCGGGCTGCGTGTTCAGCTCGCAATGTGTCAAGCGCAGCGCGACTGTCACGAATTTGAGTTACTTTGTCCTATGAAATTTACAAATTTTACAGTTCTTTCTCTAATAAGAAGCAGCATTTAAAATTATAGGGTACTCAGGATGGGTTAAACAGGACCCATATCATGTGCTCCATTTTCATCAATTCATCGTAAATTTAAATGTATGATGAATTTAATTCATGACCTCAGTGCAATCAAAACAATTTTTAAATAAGGAATGTGTGTCTATTAATAATTGACTAAAAACAAGCATGCAACTAAATTGACGAACAAGTCTATCTTACCAGGGTAAGGAAAAGTTATTATAGACTACTTTTGCTTAATGTAACTTATCTTCATTTTAAAAGAAAATAAAAAAAAAAAAGCAGGTACGAGTCAACTCGTGCGCCGAGGGTTCCGTACCTACCCAGATTTTACGTAGATTTTCGCGATAATTTGTAAGTACCAAAATTTATCTTAATATTCAACTTTTTTTATTTTTTGGAATTATTCCTCTATTTGTGCTGAAAGACGTTTCTTTTTGATAAATTTCGTGATTCTAGGTCAACAGGAACTACCATATAGGTTTTCGACCCAAAACCTATATAGGGTACTTCCGGTTGACCTAGAATTGTCAATTTTGGTGAAAAGCATGGTCTTACAAGGACAAGTAAAGAGAAAATCTTGAAAAATAAAAAAAGTGGAAGATTAAGGTAAATTTTGGTACTTATAAGTTTTCGCGCAAATCGAAATTTGCACATATCTCTTTATCGTATTGACTTAGGACCTTGATTTTTATCCACCTAATGAGGACCATAGACCTCAGTATCTGGTATAAAATTCAACTTGCTAGGTCTACCCGTTCCTGAGAAAATCGGTGGTGACACACGGACAGACGGACAGACGAACAAGAAAGTGATCTTATAAGGGTTCCTTTTTTACCTTTTGAGGTACGGAACCCTAAAAATATTACAGATATTTATGAGATTTGATGATTTTATCTATCTTTTTAATATAGTAATTTTTGTGAACAAAGATTGATGAGCAAATATAGGGATGGACCTGTTTTGAGCAGTTTATGGAATATTTTAAGGAGACAATGTTTAGGATGTAATTTTAAATAGAAAAATTATTTAAATTACCTGTAAACTCTCCAAATAAACACGTTTGTCGTCTTGTTGCTGGATGTATCGTAGTAGACGAGAATGCATTGCCGTTATGTTCATAAATAGTGTCTGAACAGCTGTGTCATTAGCAATGGAACGTCCTCTGAAAAATCAGAATTAGAAATAATTTAACTTACTACCAGGATCCTACCATAGTACAGACTTTCCTCACATGGTACACTGAAAAAAGTAAGTGTTGAAGTTGGCAATGATATTTTTTTCAACAGCAATTAAAGAAGTGGTTGTGATTGTTTTACATAGTGAAATTGGCAAACTCTCAACTATAGAGAGTTGATGAATGGATAGATGTTAAATCTACCATGACTTCGAGTGGCTGTTTATAAAACCCCAATTGTTGCAGATTTGACGGAAGGAGTTTCAATGACCAGTGAGCTAATCGCCCTTTACTTCTATATAATTTTTTTCTGTTATTTTTATATTGTTGTCTTTCACTACGACCGGTTTTACTAAGTGCTACTATCACCCATTCGATATATCTAGGCTAAAACGTCTACTTGTATAAATAAAATTTATTAAACTTAACATTTTATTGTCAAGCTCTCTAACCAATTTTCAGGCTACGTATTGTAGAGTACAACATGGAAGACATAACGGTGGATTTTGCTAATGCTAAAATGCGAGCACTCACCTTGAAGAGTTGCTTTTCATTCTATTTACAAATATTTCTACTTGAGATTTCAATGACTCAACAAACTCATCAATTTCTTTGTCTTCAGCATCATCATCCTGCTGCTTGTTAGTTGAAGCTTTTGGGAAATCCTGTTATTAGAAATTGTCAATTTTTAGTTATTAACTAATATATATAAAGTAAAAACTGTAAGAAAAATATGTACAAAAGAAAGTCTTTGAACACATTTAACTACACACCTCAACAATTTCAGATGTATGTGTAGTAGGAGCGGGCGCAGTGGGTGCCAAAGCAGTATCTCGGGAAAGTCTTTGCTCCCAATAGCTACGGTCCAAATACCGTGAGAGTTCGGAGGTTGTTTGTGTAGTGTGCTCAGGAGATGCACTTACTGATGACGGTGTCGGTGATACTGGAATAAACATCGTACTTTATTTAGGAACGATTATAAAACCATAATAGGATTTATTAACAGTCAAAACTATTATAATGGTGTTGGTAATTCTCCACAAATAATCGGTTAAGTAATAAATTGATAAATCTGTTTCGATACTAGAATATATATATATATATTACATGGTAATAAAATCTAACAAATTTAAATTTTGAAAAAAGATAATAAGTACCTATGTTGTTTCGATATACGAGTAGGTATAGGGCATAAGCAGGTAACATCTGGTATTTCAAATTTCCACTTAATAAAAATTTAAGAAACTAAAATCTATTAAAAAATCCTGTTTAATTTATATTATGTAAACATAAAAAAATAGATTTTACTTGGTGCTAAATCATTTACCAGTCGGATGATGTGGAGTAGGATCTGGGGCAATGTGTGATCGTGATTTGCGCTCTTTTTCCTTCTGTTCAGCTTCAGACTGGCTAAGCGCCAATGCCAACTGCAGCTCTTCTTCCTCTTGTAACTCTTCCGCCGTCTTACCGGGCGGACGTTTCTAAGAACACCGTTGGCTTATGAGATACAAATACTTCTAGACAATATTTACATTTTTATATGTTTTAAAGGAAGACAATGCCTAATAACAAGGTTTTTTAGCCATATTTTAGAACTTAATAGGTTACATGTGTCTAAAATCGTACAATAAATTATATTCCTAAAAATTCTGTTAAGATGCGACACAATAAAAAGACTATTGATTGCCTACGTTTCGAAGGCATTTCTATGCTTAATACTTACTCAGGTGATTGAACAAATACGAATATATAATCTCCCTAGGCATGCCTAGAGATACAATGACACTCACAGTGCATAAGTAGCAGTGTGCTTGCTGGTTATCTTTGCTACTCAGTTCAAAAACACTCCCACATTAATGTGTTAGTACCATATTAAAACTCATTCATTCATAGAGTTACTTATACTCAAACACTAAGACTTAAAAGTAGTCTGTATTGTCTTTACTGATGTCCTTTTGAGGTGCTTTAATTATTATTTACTTTATATCAAGAAAGACTATGTGAAGATAACATAATATTTACACAACCTCAGAAACATGATAACATAATACAATCTACATTATCATTTCCACAAAATTAAGGTCACTGAATAATATAATTTTATAGTTTGAGAAATGAAACAGATCTTTGTCTAAGATATTATTTATTTTACAGAAAAGCATACCAATCTATAAAAATTAATGTTCACTGTGCTAGTAAAAATATAACTAACACTACCTTATAAGAATTCAAATGTTCTATGAATAAAATCTTAAAAATAGAAATTCACAATGGCAGTACATTATTAAATTACATTACAACTATTAAAAATACAAAACATGATAACAGTCAGTAAGCAATATCTGAACTACAGTTAAAAGTATTTGTCCCACATATAATCATTAATTTTAGTGTTGTTTCTGCCTTCTGACAAACTTTGGAGTTTCAGGAACTGTAAGTGGTGCAACAGACTTTTCTAACTGGAATGGCACAGGAGCTGGGGCAGGCTTTGCATGATGTACAAGTTTAGATCTTAGTTCACTGATGGCCTTCTCTTCAGCTTCTAAAAGTTCTTTCTCTCTTTGATGCTTTAGTCTCTCTTGCTTTTCTTCTTTTTCTTTCAATTGTTTTTCAAATTTTTCTCTTTCAGCAGCTCGCTTCTCAGTTGTCAACTCAAAGGGAACGGGTTTCACAAATTGTACTGGTTTATTCACAGGCTTAAATGGTTCTTTGTAAAGCACTGTTGCTGGTCGAGCCTCAAATTTAATATTTTCTTTATTTTCAGATGATGTTGTTGAAGAACCTTCTTTAGCAGCAGTACAATGCATGTGTTTCTTGACAGCCCCTGGCACAGGTTGTGCTTTAAACAAATAGGCCTGTTTACGTTCTTCTTCAATTTGTTGTCGGATTCTTTCTTCTCTGCGACGTTTCAGCTCCTCATCCCTCTTTGCAAATGAGAACGGCTCAGGTTTTACTGGACCCATCCTGATGTGAGGTTTATCTTCATGTTTTTGACTTGGTTGTATTTTGGATTCATATTTAATATGATCTGCAGAATTTGCTCTTTTATAGTGAAATTTAGGGCTAACTGGTATTGTTTTTTGTACAGGAGGTTTAACAGGTATTTGAGGTTTCTCAAGAATGTGTTTAGGAGCAGGGCGCGCTTTGAAATTGTGAATATTTTCCGAAGATTGTTTTGTTTTCTTTGGAATTTTAGTCAATTTAAAAGGTTCAGGCACAGTAATAGGCTTTCTTTGCACTTCAGGAAGATGTTTAGGACCTTCTATTACTGATTTTGGTATTGGATGTGCTTTGATTTTGAATTTCTTGATTTCTTCAATTTCCAATTCCTCTCTCTCCTTTTGTGATAAAATATGTACAGGTCGGGAACGTGCTTTACAACGAAGCATTGGCGATTGAGGGACAGTGAGACCGGATGGACCAGTTGCGCCTTGTGATCGGAATGTTTGCGGTCGCTTCGAATGAAAACGACCAGGAGTATCCCTTTGATAGTGATAAATAGCCTCAGCCATGGAGACAAACTTTGTTCTTGATAGCTCTTGAGGGGCACTGGACTGTTTCCGGTATCTATTGTAAACATCTTCTTTGTCACAGAATTCTAGCTTCACAAGGTCTTCTCGGAGCTTAGCTATGTCATTCATGGACATGGATTTTCTCATTCCAGCATAATCGTCAAAAGAACGGTCAAGATGATTATGATCACCAAAATCCTCTTCTATAGGAGTAATAGGCTCGTCTTTTATACGCGGGTTTCCGTTTGGTGTGAAATAGACTTCACCGCGAAAATTCGTCACATGTTTAGCCATTTTTTAAATAAAATGAACTACGATAAAACAAAACAACTTACTACTGTTCGCTTAATGAATTCGTTATTTTCAAACGAGTCAAACATTAATTCACTGACGTAATTATTTAGTGTTGCCATTTACAAATTTTAATTTCTCCCAAAACAGATTAATTATAAATTTGATTTATTTAGATCAAATCTCATTGAAAAGAAAATATTAACAATATCTTTCGTTAAGTTCTGTTTGAAATAGTAAGACCAACATTTTAATTAAAAAAAATGTTTATACTAAACAAAGTCAATGAAGGCTAGTTAGTAACTGGCATGTTTGACAAGTTGTTAAAATAATTCAATGAAATTTTATAGATTTCTTTAGTGACTTCTTTCTGAAGTGTTATAGAAAAATATAATTAAAAATGTAGCAAGTTACAATATTATCGTTTACATTTATCATTTTTTCAAAATAAACTTAAAACTTTGACGTAGTTTATTCTTAGGCACATTTCTAAACGCAAGTATGGCTGTCAAAGTCGACTTGTTAAGTGAATTTTTGGTTTGTGCATGTAATTTTTAACGTGTGTTTAAAATAAACTGCAGAATCTAATACATTCGTCATATATTTTAACGATGGCACAAACAGCTCTTCCTAACCCCAACACTTTATTGCCACTTGAACTTGTGGATAAATGTATAGGTTCAAGAATTCACATCATTATGAAAAACGACAAAGAAATGGTTGGAACATTACAAGGATTTGATGATTTTGTCAATATGTTATTAGACGATGTCACGGAATACGAATCTACACCAGAAGGAAGGAAAATAACCAAACTAGATCAAATTTTATTGAATGGTAACAACATTGCAATGCTTGTGCCCGGTGGTGAAATGCCAGGTGATTCTTACGATGCGCAGTAGTGATCCCATAATCTAATTGTTAATAAAGTAATTTTATAAATACTGGTGTTTTATTTTGTTATTTTGAGGTTTCAGCATTACAATTAATTATAATATATGTAGTATTGATACAAATACATTCATGAATAACTAACGACCTAGTAACTAACTAGTAACTTCACTTAGTGTGAAACAAGAACATTCTTGTAGCAGTTTTTTCGTATGTTATTTTTTATTGTATTGTTGAGTAAGTATGTAATACAATTTTATGTTAGTTGAAGATATAATATTGACTGAGGTACTAGTTTAACAAGATTTTATGGAGTCCTTACCTGTGGCTGTGTAGGCCCATAGTCATTAGATGTATCGACTATCTCCAGTTTAGTAGAAGATGCGGGTGGCCTACTAACTTTGTCATAGCAGGCATCACATACACGGACCTATAAAACAGTTTGCTTCTGAGATAATGCTTATCATATATTGAACTGTACTTTGTTTACTGGATATAGTTTCAGACAGGTTTATAGATTAAAATGTTATTGAGACAATGTACTACACAAAGAGATTTGTGGGTGACAATTTATTACTACCTGTTGTTACTATTTTATACACAATATGAGGATTATAATGTGTAGATACCTACCTCCTTCTCAATGCCAAATTTAGGTAAAGTAGATGTTTTGGAGCTACACTGTTGACAGAATACTTGTCCACATGCTCGGCAATGATGACGGCGTACCATCAAAGAAAATGGCACGCGACACCTAAGCAATAAGAAAATAAGGATAATATTTTATTGCACTACTAATGTTACCATGCCTGTTTCAGAATACACTAATCGTGAAATAGATTTGAATTAAATGTCTCACACATGTAACTTTGGACACATTTCAAATAGAATAGGGGGCTATAATTAAAAATATATACATTTTTTGACTTAAAGCCATAAATATTTAAGTCTAATTCAAAAATTTGCAGTTGTTAACATGGATAAAGGAAAGAAAACAATAATTTGATATCTATGCAAGTTTGTACAATATATATGAAAATTACATAAGGAGGTATATCATACCTATGACACACTTCTCCATCAGCCCATTCTGGTGCTGTGTCAGCAGAAAACATCGCATCAGACTCTTTGAGTGTCGGGAATTTGTAACCTTCTGCCTTCAGTATATTCACGGTATCCTGTTCACAAAACAATGTAGAGAAATACACTACACATCAGCACATAAAACAATGACTAACTATATAAAACTAAAACACGTCACGATAACGGTAAATTTTTACTTGATTTTACCATTTTGTAAAAATGTGGGGAGTAGTTCTGTACGACTGAATTGGTTAACACAAAGTGTTTAGATCTAATGTCAGTGTTTATGTTGTTTGGTAGATTATGATGACTCATGGTCTGACTGATAAGATGTGACGCAGATGTGCAGGTAAGTATTATATACCTAATAATGAGTACAATAAATGTATGTAAATAAGTCTCTGTACGTAATTTGTACTTTTAAATTACCGAAATAAGAAGAAATTATATTCTTCATAGTGAGACTTTCATATACGATTTACATAATTGTATAAAATATACATTCACGTATTTATAAGGGAAATGCATAAGTATAGATAAAATCACTACACAGGACATTGACATGTGACCTCGAGTGTAAACAAAGCAATTACTCGAATTTACTGCTGCCTGGCTGATTAAATTAATTGAAGGAACGCTTACATGCATCAGGATACTTGGTTGGTAAGAATTTTTTTGAAACACTAGGTGTGAACGTTATTCACCATTCCATGCTATGCTAAAGACTTGAAAGTAATGTATACTTAATTAGATTATAGGTGTGGTATGATCAATACTGTGAAGAACCTACCTACGTTGTTCAACCTTGAGATGGACAATGTAAAAACGTTCAGTGAACTGTGGCAGACATTTTATATTGGACTAGGTGTTGTCTGCGGCTTCATACATCTGAATAAGATTTTGTTACTGAATTCAGGTATTCTACAGGCGCAATATTCCTGGGTGAAAGGTATGCTACGTTTTTTTCTGTAGCACTGAAAACATGTTTGCAAATTTTATGAATCTAATTAAAATTGCATCACGAAATTAAAATTCAAAGTCATCATGAAACAAATAAACTAATATTTTCATTTGTAATATCAGTGACTATTAAACTGACACGTTAGATAAATATATTCATGTTTGGATTTTTTTATAAAAATACGAGACGCGACACTGGGTAAAATTATTTTGTGAACGATTCACTTGCCAATAACGAATAGGTTGTAGGTCATTAATTTGTTGTCTACGTCTTATAACCAGAGTGAGGAAATATATATTTCATTGAGATTTTCTTCTCTTACTTAACTGTAGTAAAATCAATCCCTGTAATTGGTGAGCTGTTAAAAACCTCTCTCTTTAAAGCGGGTCAACTTACACAGCCAATTCGATTCACCGTCACTGGCTATAGAAAATTATCTGGGAGTATGAGCTGATAGGAGCTTTTTTTTTAACCGGTCGGTTCCTGGCGAGACTAAACAAGCAGCCATTTTACTAATAAGCACTCCTCTGCACTCTGCACATGGGTTCTAAAGTTTCCTTGTATGCATGACTAACCAATTAAACCAATAGATTGTATTATTGGAAATAATGGCGATTAACGCATACCATTTTATAAATTAAAAAAATGTCGTCATTTCATCATAGTCATTATAAAGAGCCCATTTTTGTGTTAATGAATGAAGTTTTGTTCTTTTTAGTATTAGTAAAGTACTGTACAAAAAGACAACAGGCCTCATCAATATTAAAAACCAATATTAAGGACAAGAATAGAACAAAACTTGTTCCAATTGTATTATAGAAATACGGTTTTTCTTTATGCTTGTAAACTGCGTTTCGTTAACTTACATGTTTGTAGATGTAAGTTAAAGTTTTTAAATGCAAAAGTGCATTGTGTTTTTTTGATTGTGCAAGTGATTTTTCTGTATCTGGACTAACTTAAAGAACTTTGGTATGGAGATGACAGGACCTGGAAGAAATACATATTCTATCTTCTATCGTAAAAATAATACTTGAAACGGTGATTTCAATGATGAAAGTTTGTATGATTGGTGTTCAAATAAGTTCTTATATTTAGGACTGTCAAAATTAAGAATGTGTTTTTTCATAGTTTTCTACATAGAGGAAATAACAGGCACCAACTTTAGTTTACTATACCTGCTACTAACTACTACAACCAGTGGCAGCCTTAGCCATTGCGTGGCTTCGGGCAGGTAGATCATTGCGAGGCCTCGGGCTGGTAGATCATTGCGAGGCCCTTGTCTTTGTGGAACTAGTTTTAATAATGATACTTGGAACAAAAATGCAATCGACACATAGTTCCTGCTAGAACATTGAAACATAAGCCTACGACAGTTGATTCTGGAAGTCGGCCAAAATGACAGAGTGAATGAGACACAAAGAATCTCCGAACGTAAATCGAGCGCGAGTAGAGTGCCTTCAGTTTTTAATGCAATGCCTAGTAAAGCGCGAAATTAAAATTAACATTTCTCTCCTTGAACTGTAGCGCGAGTGAGCAAGGCCCTGGGCGGTTGCCCTACTCGCCACCCCCAAAGACAGTCTCTGACTATAACAGGTCTTAATGAAAAAGTAACATCGCTAGGACTTCCAAATATTGCCAAAATTACTTTAGTAGAGCATATGAAATAATAGGTATCACTTCTTCAGACGTTTGAATACTTTTTTTTTACGTGTGGAAAACCCCTCGGGTTTGGGCGGGGTTGGGTGTGCTCCAATAGGCCAAGATCGCCTGGAGCAGATCCAATCCTGGTACGCCCTCCTGTCCGGAGGGCGTGCACGGCGAATGGTCATGGGGGAGAGCGCAACAGTCGTGTAGATCCCCATGACAAGTCTGGGTGAACAGAAACACCCAGACGCAATTCCATCCCACAAAACCTATCCTTTCCCATCCACACCTTCTGCGGACAATAAGTGGTTGGTGCCTGCGGCCTCACTATCAACAGAGACTGAGAGTGAGGGGTGGGGGGGCAACCACCCGCATGTTTGTGCCGTGTGCCGGGGACCCGTAGGGGAGGATGAAGGGATCCTGGTAGTTGAGCCGAAAGCAACACACTGCTTTGGCCTTTTTTTTTTTTTTTTTTTTTTATTTTTTTCCGTGCGGAAATCCCCTCGGATACCACCTGTCGGTGGCATGTCGGACTCGAACCGACTAAAACCGCACGCCTTCGCCGGGTACTAATAGCCGGGGAACCAGGTATACCCTAGAAAGGAAGGCCCTGGTGCCCCGACATACCTCGGGTCATCTACAGACGAGTAGACGACCCCCGCCCCGTGTGGGAACCCCATGTTCCCTGTGCTCCCTGGAAGCGAGCGTGCTTCGCAACGCGCTCGCCGCCACCCCGGCCTGCTTCTGCTAGGGTGACAGATGGCCTCACCTGTCACCCCCAGGCCTGCGCTTATGGAGGACGAAGGTCGTTCTGCGACCTCCGGCGCCTGAGTCGCCTGCGCTGCCTGGCCCGTGCCCGGGCCTGGCGGGCCGGGAGAGTTCTAAACCTCTCCCGGTCCCGCTCCGCCGTCTCCTTCGCGAGCATAACTTGCTCGCAGAAGGAGACGGCAGAGTTCCACGCACTCTCGCTCCGCACGATAGCCGCAATCAGGCTATCGAGCGAGAGAACTCCCACTCCGATGGCCGCCACGAGGTCTCGCCTCTGCTCAACCCACGCCGGGCACTCTGCCAGCGTGTGGAGAGCCGTGTCCACGGTCTGGCCATCGCAGTGGTGGCACTCAGGCGTTGGCTCCTTGCGGATCAGACACAGGTGATCTCCGAAACATCCCTTCCCAGTGATCACCTGCGTCAATCGGTATGAGAGGGTCCCGTGACGCCTCTCGAGCCAATCCTCCATAACGGGTCTTACCGCCGCAATGACGGCGTGCCCGGCGCTCGGTTGCCCGAGTCGTTCCCTCCACTCCCCTATGATGACCTGGCGGAGTTGGGATTTCCGGTCATCGATTTCTCGAATCTCGGGGTATCGACCCAACTCCTGCGCCTCCTTGCGCCACTGATACAGTGCTGCAAGGGCTCTCGCCTCCAGGTCCCACGGTGGAGTTCCGGCCAGGAGACTCGCCGCCTCGAAGGAGATCGTGCGGTACCCCCTTATGATCCTGATGGCCAGCATTCGCTGCGGTCGCCGCAGTATCGCGACGTTGCTGGCCTTCAGGGCCCCCGCCCATACTGGGCACCCGTAAAGGGCCATGGACCGCACAACCCCCGAGTAGAGTCTCCGGCAGGAGTCATCGGGTCCCTTCATGTTGGGCAGCAGCCGCGCCAACGCACGCGCTGCCCCAACCAGCTTGGGGACCAGACCTCGGAAATGATATCCGAAGTCCCATCGGCCATCGAGTACGAGCCCCAGATACCTGATCGAGGGCTCGATGCCGATGCGAGTGCCTCCTACCGTGAGGCTAGATCCCTCAGGCGGCTTCCTCCGAAGCCCGTGGAAGAACAGGGCCTCGGACTTGTGCAGAGCCACCTCGAGACCCAGCCGCCGGATACGCTCAACGACTTGGGCAACCCCGGCCGTGGCCCTCAGGGTTGCCTCGTGGTGCGTCTTACACTGCTTTGGCCTGGATTTCTCCTTACACGGGAGGCTGAAGGCCAGCCACCTTTGGTCAATCGGCTGTAGTATCCCGTCTGAGGGCTGCTGGACGAGAGCTCTTCTTTGGTGGGGGTGGACGACGGGTGGAATGACCAAGTCTTCCTACCTAGTTCGGCCTGCCTTCTGCCAGGGAGGGGGCTCTATATTTCCTTGTCACTTTGGCGTCGTGTGCCTTCTGCTGCGGCGTCCCCACTTGAGGGCTCCAAGGACCCTCCTTCCAAGGACATCCGGACCTACGCTAGCGCCTGCCTGCAACGGCGCAGGTACCAATATCGCTATTTAGGCGACGCCCGGCACACGTGAACGCCGCCTCAGGGCGGCATGAGACGCTGGTAAGAGCGCCTGCGCCGCCAGGTTCGTCGGCGGCGAATTGGGTCCGAGTGGAGATTATCCTCTTGGGCCCTCTCCGCCACCTCCTTCTGCGAGATAACGTCTTCGCAGAAGGATGCGACCGCATTAAAACGACTATCGCTACCGGCCATGAAGCGTATGACGGCCGGTAGCGAGAGATCTCTCCCGATGACTGCAGTGAGGACCCGACGCTGCGACGCCCAAGCCGGGTAAACTGCTAGCGTGTGCTGAGCCGAGTCCTCACTACAAGCGCTGTGGTAACAGGCGGGACTCAGTTCCCTCCTAGCGACTGAGTGCGACCGAAGCAGCCGTGCCCGGAAAGCACCTGCGTCAGTCGGAAGGAAAGGGTCCCGTGCTGCCGCCCTGCCATTCGACGATGACCGGCTGGAGCGCCTCCACGGCGGCAAAACCAGCACGTGGAGCCCCCAGCCTTGATGACCAACTAGCCATCGTGGCTCGACGAGCGGCTTCGCGCCACTCGCATACTTCTTAGGGCGGGGGCTGACTGCCGCTAACCGCCCAGAACTCAGTCGTCCGCCGATATACTTCGGCGAGCACTTCCGCCTCCAAATCCCACGGGGGAGTGCCGGCCAACGCGCACGCTGCCTCCGTCGACAGGGTGCGGTAACCGCGTATGGCTGTAACTGCCAATACCCTTTGAGGACGCCAAAGGCGTGCTCTGTTTTAGACGGTCAGAGCCGGCTGCCTATACCGGTGCACCGTACAATGCCATTAACCGGACAACCCCCGTGTACAGCCACAGACGTATGAATACCACACTAAGACATTATCGAAAACACTTGTCCTATTTTGCAGGGTTTTTTAATCATCATAACGTTCCTGCACTTAAGGAAAGTGGCTCCAGTGGATGGATGCAGCCTGGCCATAACCGTGATAGATGGAGCTCTTTGGAAGATCCTTCGTTCAGCAGTGGACGGCGATAAGCTAATGATGGTTCTTCTTTTTTTTCAATTTTAGCTTGTTTCTTTTGGGATTGGGATTTTGTATTCAGACGGGTCAATAAAGGGAGCTAGGGGAAGGGATAATGTAAATCGGATGAAGAATCGGGACTAAGACTTCAGTAGCTGGAAGTGTGTAAATTATGTGATTGGAAACGCCATTAGGGCAGGGACGTGAACAGTGACATGGGTCTCGTTCTTTCAATATGTAATATTAAACAACACGCTAGCAATCAGTCATTAATCACATAATAACGACCATTTAGTGCATGATAACGTTTATAGTGTTGACGCCAGGCTTTGGTATACATATTTTTATAGGGTATCGTTCGTTGTTATCAATTGAATCCTGATTTCGAGTATCTGTATTCCTTGTCATGTGACGCAGACATCAGATTTCAAATAATGCTTAATTCGAATATCACTATTAGGTATGACCATTATCATGCAATTACACATTTTCAACTAAATATCACTTTACATTTTCATTATCTAATCGAAAAATCATAGTATTATAGGTATTTCTTGATTAAAGAAAGTAGTGACTTTATACCTGAACTGCTCTATATTTAGGAGAGTTTCTAAATGCGAAGGCCCACGCTTGTATCAGTTCCAATATTTTGTTGCGAAGATTTTCATGCTGTGTAGTCTTTACCAGATCACGGAGCATTTCGCAGAAGGCCTTTGAAGTCACTTCATCATGAATTCCAGACCCTTAGGATAAAGTTCACGTTTAAATAATATGTTTACAAAAGGTATCCTCTGTCCTGTGTCTTTTTTGATTCAGAACATAACTGTGTCAATTTTAAATTAAAAAGTGCACCTAGAAAAATATATATGTGAACTATTTTTACTTCATTAGTAAGTCTATTCATTACCATTTGTAAATAATAATATGTTTTTATTTATCACTAAATTATTAAATTGGAAAATACTACTTGTACATTGGTGTTTTTACAATTTAATATTTTAGTGATAAAAACCAATGTTTCTACTAACTATTTATAAACTGTGTGTTGAATTATTTGCTAGTTCTACATCAGTATTCTTTCGTTATTAGTTATTAATTATATTTAATCTAATTGTATTTGTATTTGCAATAAATAACAAGAAAATGGTGATGTACAAAAGGAAACTCAATGTTATTTGGTTATACAAATAAATTTTGAATAGTCTACTAATCTAATGTACAGGTATGTAGGTATTACACTAGGGTCGTCACTTAGGAGTCCTCAGTAACATTTATAATTAATCTTTGGATATAATATATAAAATGTGGGTAACATTATTTATTATATGGGGGTATTACATTAGTTAAAGGTAACTTTTTACTTTTATTTCAATCTATATGAAAAGGCTCTTAAATAAAATCTGTATTTTCAATGGAATCAGCACTGTGTTGGGTCATCACTAATTGTTTACTTTTCGAAGTCTCAAATAGAAAGCATATGAATGGACATGGTATAATTTCTGCCTAATGCTAAGGCTGTTTGTCAATTTCACCAAAAACTAAAATCCATCCAAATTAAATTGGCTATTAGCTACACTGGAACATAAATGTTAATGATATTTTTTGACCATATAATTTCTGCCTTATACTAAGCTGTTTGTCAATTTACCAAAAATTAAAATCCATCCAAATTAATGATATTTGGTTGACCAGTTCTGTTGACGGGCAAGTTAGCTCCTAACAGGTTACCCTTTTGTTAGTCACACAATTATGCTGATGTTTACTTTTTTACTGAGGGTTACTCCCTTGTAGCCCTTGAAAGTCCTTGTTGTTGTTATTGTCATCCTAATACTAACAATGATAGATATGCATTTGGTTGATTTTATTATAGAATTAAATTGCAACTTGAACAAATGAGCAAAACAAAAAATAAGATACAAGGCAATAACTACAACTATTATTACTTTACAGTGACATAATATATTTTTTAAATACTGTTGTTAGGCAAGCCGCACATAGTCTCCACTTATATACATTTAAAACAAAACAAAATATTATAAAATAGTAACGCTATTATATATTCTTATCTATATTGGAGAAAAGAGTAGGTTTTACATAATTAGTCATAGCTATATGTCTATAAATGTTTATCTAGAAGATATACATTATGATTCACACATTTTTAAAATGATATAAAATATTGGAATAAGTGAGAGAATTCTCATGAGCTTTTTATCATACCTGTTTCTTCCTTTTCTTCTGTTTACTCCTACTACTACTTACATTTAAAAGTCATAAAATTTCCACAACGACAACGTCTAAATGATTGATTATGTTGCACATTGTAAGACAATGCAGTTACAGTGCAAGTGCATTGACAAGTTACAGTGACTGTGTTTATAAAGAGCTAAGTGAAGTAAAAGTTGTCACTTAGGAAATATTTAAGTGTCAAGACAGTTCTTTAAACTATGCTCTATTTATCTCTTATTATTATGACCCTTAACTTTTGAAAACAACTTACCACAATTTTTTACAACACTTTCCAGGGTGAGGAGTGCAAACATTGCTTGATGGGGATTCTGAGAATATAGTTTCTTTTTAACTGCTGCCACTGCATATTTCGGTCTGGAACAAATATATAAATAGTGTCTCATAGGAAGGTATTGTCAGGTATTATGCTGGAAACATAGGGGTAAGGTTACGTCATTATCATCATCAGCCTGTTGCAGTCCACTGCTGGACATTGGCCTCTCCCATTGCACACCACTTAGATCGATTTTGTCTTCTCAAGGCTACATGATTTAGAGATTTTTCAAAGTATTCTATAAAAAATACAGAACTTTTTAGTTATGGTACTCCACAATAAAATTACATCACTACATTTTTAAACTAAAATGGTATTCATATTTAAATAATGGCAATTGTTCCTATTACTAATTTTTTTAATAAGAATATTAATAGCCATCTATACTATATTAAATTACCATCTATACCTCATTCCAGTTAGGAATGAGGTATAGATGGTAATTTACAAATTGCCAAAGCTGATGATACTTTTGTTTTATTTTAGTGCTAAAGATTCTAAGAACTAGAAAATAAAGGAATAATATTTGCACTAGTTATTACAAATGACTGCTTTACGTTGTACTCAAAGATTGTTACAAACAATTAGACTGTCTGGAGCATCACTTGCATAAAGTAGTTATTTTGTATTACCTGGGTACACTACTTTCTTGGGTCAAAATAACAGTGTTCATGAAAATTTAAATTTAACAAGAATAATTTCTACAAAAATTTTTGATGTGGTTTATGTCATATTTACAGCGAATAAATTTATTTTAAGCAAATAATGTTAAATACAACCAAATAATAGCAATCCTCCTTAAGAATTCGGAGCAACATCGATGGTTCATACAGTTTTTGTAAATGTTGTATATTTTAAATGTATTGACCTTCACCCTTATACCCTATGTTATAGGGAAATACTTACGAACAATCATTTTGTCTAATCAAATCGCATATTTGTAGAATTGTCGGCCAATCGGGATCCAAGCGTAGATTACTAGTCGCTTTATCTAGAACAAATTTATTTCACCTTTAGTGTATGTAAGGGTCTTAATTCAAGATTTGCTACTAAGACGTTCCCTATTTTATCATTTATTATGCAGTCGTAACATCTTCGAAATAAAGTGTAACAATTTATTTACGTTAGAAGAAAAATAAAGAAAGGTATGCTATGCTAATCAGAGAAAACTACAAAGTAAATTGATGACAACGAATGTATATTTTTGTTATGGATGTTGTGTTAATGGCATACACGATTAATTGTAATTTTTCGTACTTACCAAGTAACTTATCAAAATTATTGGCTCGAAACATCTTTTCTTGCTATAGGCAATAATTAACTTTTGTTTTAGAAAATCAACAGTGATTGATTCAGTGGACAGAAAAATGACAGCACACTTTTGTCATTTTTTATTTTTCTTTAAATGTTGGCAATCTTGAACGTCATTTTGCATTCGATTGTAAGGGTTGGTCTCACTGGACCACCAAAATAAAAATTATTATTTTTATCTCTGACGAGAGTAAGTAAGGAGGATATAGAAAGGTATACTAAAGATTTGTCAAACAAGTGTAAGTTATTTAAGGTATGAGGTCCTACAGCAGTGTCGAGTACCATAGAGACTCAAGTTTCTACTCTATGACTAAACTAGATTAGAAGTCAAAGCTATCCAAAGTAGAGCTAAGGAACTTGTCTTGTATGAATGGAGGTAAACCAAAACTCTTCAGATGGAATTAGCAAAAATATCCCTATAGAGATGTACACGTTATTATCTCAAACTTTTTATTGTACAAATTGTGTCAATTTTGAAATAACTCGCTTAAGCGTGCTATACGATATTTTATATGGAAAGAATACACAACATTATACTACTATAAATTCTCTGCCTTGTATTAATGAACTGATGGCATATTTTACAAATAATTAAAACTATTTTTACAATAGAAATGGAGTAAAGAGCAAATATCTGTGCGGACAGGTACAAAAGTAATCTATTGATATGTCATAAGCAAAAATCCCACGTGAATATGGTTAACAAAATACGTCAAATTTTAATGTCATATACAAGCTTATACAAGTATCATTTTTCAATTTGACGTAGTAAATCTATTTATTATATATATAAGAGATTTCCACGTATATAGTCACTCATCACGATATCTCTGGAACCATTAGAGCTAAAGACTTGAAATTTGGTAGGAATATTCTTTTCACCGAGTAGAGGTCAGTTAAGAAGTGATTTTAAGAAATAAAAAATAAAAAAATTTAATAATTTAAAAAGCAAAACAACGTTTGCAGGGTCAGCTATTTATTAATTAAAATACCAAATTCCGTCACACGTCACCGAACTTAGATGACGTTTCGTAATTGAAGTAATTTATATTATTATGTGGTTATTATGGAGGTAGAGGCAAGAAGAACTGACTCTGTGTATGAAAAGTGTACGTCAAAATGCGTTAAATAATAATTGGGAGCGCTACAGTCTCATAAGGATATTTTTTTAAAGAAAGCGCCAATAGTTGTTAGAGTAGGATAGAGAAATAAACATTGAAAGAAAAACATTGTGAAAAATTTAAAAATAATAATTAGACATTGTGTACTAAACTGTGAAAATAGTCTGTGAGTTTTACAGACAATAAAAGTATTATAATATTTTAACTCAGCAAACTTCACTCCGTGTACAACAGCTATGTTCATATCGTAGTTTTTCGTAACGCGAAAAATTTATATTGGCTCAAATAATAATCAGACACTGTGAACATGGCTGCGAAAATAGCCAATGAGTATTACAGACAGTAAATAAACGTGTAATAACTTCCAGACTGTAAAAGTATTATAATGTTTTAACTCAGCACACTTCACTCCGTTTTTCGTACGCCAGCGACATTTATTTTCAGTATAGCGAAATATAATAATAATGGCGAAATATATAATAATAATGGCAATATGGCGAAAAGTTGAAAAAGTGTCCAGCTGTAGGAGCTGGACACTTTTTCAACTTTTCGCCATATGAGACGGTTCTTCTTGCCTCTACCCTCCATTGCGGTAATGACAACCCGATATTACCTACTTATATTTCCTGTAACATTTCTGCCTGTTCCTTACCCCTTTATTTGTGTGGTGACCCTTACCTTTTTTACACTTCTCTTCTCTAGTGTCCGACCGAAACAGGTTTTTCAGCTAAAACCGAAACTCAAACTATCATTTCGAAATTTCGACTTTATACTGAAATCTAGTGTATTTTTTTTTTTTTATCTGCTTATACCATACCACCTAAAACCACTGTAAGAAGGTAGACACACGGTCAATCCTAAAGAGGGGAGAAAATGTATTTAGGTAGGTAGATTAAAAAGAAAAGTAGCTAGTATTAAAATAGATAGGCGGGAAAAGACGGGCCGAGGTGACTGACTATTAGGTGATTTGAACGGATTATACGCTATTTTCTTATAGTTAAAGTTAAGCAACTGAAGATTACACGGAGTATAAGGTTTTTGGATGGTTAATGGTAAAATAGGGGTATAGAATGTAATTCAATAATAATTAACAACAGTTCTACAAACAAACTAATCTAAGGGTCGTATTACAAAATGATACTCAAAACTCCAGAAACGCTTGAGGTTAGTTATAAAACTACGCTCAAGCGTTTCTTGAGTTTCAAACCGATCAAAGTTCTGTAAAATGGCATAAGTAATATCTAAATTGAACATAGTTTCTTTTATGTGTAACTAATATATAAATAAAACTCAACAAAATGAAGCTCTATACCTAATAATCGACTTTGAGATAAAACAATATTAGTTACAAGTAAAAGAAAACAAATAAATTATTTTCTTTCGTTGCTTTTCACCGAGTGACAGAGGCTACCGGAGCAAAAACCCTCCCCTTTCCCCTGATTCTGAGGGGAGGGAATGAAAGGTTGGCAATGCACTCGTGATTTAATTTGAAGGTGCCTAAGGGCGGCGGTAGTCACTTAGCATCATTCGACCTCTCTGCTCGCTCGATCACACGCGGCGAACTGAGCCAGAGCCGATGTCCACTAGTTAGCGGCGAAGTTAACCGAACGATGCCTAACACTTTACATACACTGAGTTTGGGCCAAGTTTGGCCGAAACCGAAACTCGAACCGAGACTAGATATTTTGGCCGAAACTGCTCTTAATTTAATTTTTTATGTAGTGTAAATATGTAGTTTTAAAAGGGCGATTCATGGGAAAATTAAGCTACTAAGCTTTATCAATGACTTCTGAGACAATGAATGAGAAAACGCTGTAAAGAGTCGTCTCTCTACATTTGGGGTTGGCAGAAATAAAAGCTTTACACTTCAGAAGGGTATTTTAAAATTTTGGGTCCCGAACAGAAACAAATTGCAGCCTCGTAAATTACAAATAAAAAATATTATATTAGATTACTCGTGTTTATGCTTTTCTTAAAGACAACGCCTCGCAAAATAACAGAAAGTTATGAGTGTTGTGTAGAGCATTGAAACTGAAATATAATAGTAGTTAATAATAAATATATTAATCGTTTTGGAAACTGAAATATATTAAAATGTTTTAATATAGATGCCCGCAAAATTCCTTTCGGGATCTAAGCTAACGTCATCTATCAGTAATGTAGGTACTCTGCTGAATAGCTAAAGTATTTTGGATCTTTCAGAAGATCAAAGAGAGGGCGAATACATCGGCCGGTCGTCATACGCTCCATGGTGGGTTGCTACAGAACTTTCACAGTGGTTGCATCCCTCTTATCACGACATCTCGTGAAAAGAGGTGGCGGAGAGGACTATTGAAGAAGATCTCTACAAGGACCCCATTTAAGGTGCGCTTTCCAGAGTCTCGTGCCGGCCTGGTAAAAATAACAAGGTAGGCAACTGATCAAAGCCGTAGATTGACGAGGAGAGTGGTATGATGACTGGTGTCTAGGATAGTTATTTTTCAGCTTTTACTACATTATCTACATCATTATTATCTTTCTTTTCAATAAAACCATTTAACTTAAAACGTTTTGTACCTATTTCGTTTACAAGTTTATACTTCAGTTCTTAATATTTCCCATGGTAGTAGTTAATTTAGCGTCTCGTAACACTACAAGGTTTCTTTGCTGTTAATTTGTTGCAGTGTCTCTCTCCCTCTTAATTTAAGGACCTTGTCCCTTTTACCCTTGTCGGTGGAGCAATCGCCACACCTATTTTCTGCGATCTCTTTGAACTCTTGAAATGCCACGACTACCGCTTTCTCCTTTACTTACTGTATGTACGTTGATCTATGCCTTCCTCGTTTTCTTTTGCCTTCTATTTTTTTTCCAGTTTTGTTCTAAAGAAGTTGTCTTTTCTTATCAAGTGGCCTACCTTTTTGCATCTCATCATTTACCATTAGTAGGATTTCCTAGTTGGTTCTTTACTCTATCCAACGAATGTTCATTACCCGCCTCCAGCACTACATTTCAAATGCTTCCAACCTGTCTCTGTCTCTTTGAGTCAGCGTTTCGCAGCCATAAAGTTCAATACTCCATATGAATGTTTTGATGAGCTGTTTCTTACTTCGGTGTTATTCTTAGACTTGAACAGGGGTTTCTTGCGTCTCTTTACTATGTCTGGGGAACATCTTGAATCCTAAGTTACCTGAATATTTGGCTAATTTGGTGACTACCTAAATATTTAAAACTTTCTACCTGTTATACCATGTCAATATTATTGATTTTAATATGACTGGTTATAGTTCTGGTAGTGTAACTCCATAATGTATAATTCCTTTAAAGACTTTACTCATTGCCCCGTAAGTTGTCTTTCCACAAACAATTTTGAACCTAAGTACACAACTGTGTGTTCTACAAGGCAGTAAAAGCCCATGACAAAATTAGGCGCAACATCCTTCTTTCAGCCGTCCCCTAATTGAACTTTTGCTGACGGTAAATCTATTTGGTACATTTTGTGTTTGACGAAATTGATAATGTAGCCGATAGCGCCATTTACCAATCTCTTCAAAACGTTAATATTGGACTATCACAGAAATGAAATGAAAAAAATGTAATAAGCTCTCATAAGCTACGTCATTCCCCGCAGTTTTATCCGTGTTTATAGTTAGTGGTCCAACTCATCGTCCTCCACTCTCAAAGGTAACCTTAAGGTATTAACCTATAAGCTTCCTCAACGAATGCTCTGTCCAATACAAAAATATATTTCCCAATCTTGGTAGTTCCAGTCATTTACATGTTTAAACAAAGAAACAATTAATCAAAGAAGTCTTCCGCTTTATTATATTACCAAGCATAGGTAGTAATTTATTACAAAGTGAAGTTGAAGATCCTCAGTCTAGTATAGAAAGGAGAAAAATAATTTAAGCCGATTATATGACGACAATTGTTGAATGCCATTGAAAACAGAAGAGGCAAAATGGTTGGCCACTTGATAAGACACGACAACTTCTTCAAAATAATATTGGAAGGAAAAATAGAAGGCAAGATAAAACAAGGGCGTCAAGTGAAGGAGAAAGTGGGAGTCGTGGCCTATCGAGGGGTCAAACAGATCGCAGGAAATAGAGAGGAGTGGCGATTGCTCTACCGACAAGGGCTTGGCTCCTAAATTGAAACAGATATAACGACAAACAAAAGAGACAAAATCGGCTTTCTTTGTCTCAATAAGCGAGATGATTTTCTTTCTTGCTTTTTCGTATTTTCACATTTTTGTAAGAAGTTGTAAAACAAAAATAACTTGTTGTATTATCAGTTATTAGTAAGTCACTTTGACAAAATACAACAGAAAAATAATATTTCATAGTTTGTAAGCTATTCATAATTTCATTACAAACGAGGGCGGGTCAATAAGTCCGTGACTTTTTGAATTTCTGACCTCTTTACTGAAAAAGCAACACTACTCCTGTCAACAGGCATATGTCAGTTGACTCCTGTCAAAATTTGACTTGCTGCGGCAGTTAGTTTGTGTTTGACAGCTATCTATATCAGACTACCCAGTAATTTGAGGAAAAAATGGAAAAAAGTGAATTTCGTGTGCTTATTAAGCATTATTTTTTGCGAAAAAAAAACCATTACCGAGACCAAGGCTAAACTTGATAAATACTATGGGACTATGCACCATCGATTTCAGTGGTAAAAAAGTTGTTTACTGAATTTCGTTGTGGCCGTACAAGCACTGAAGATGCCGAACGTCCTGGACGCCCAGTTGAGGTCTCTTCACCCGAAACAATCGAAAAAATTTACGATATGGTGTTGGCCGACCGAAGATTGAAAGTGCAAGAGATTGTGGAAGCCGTAGGGATCTCGCATGGCTCAGTGGTTTCAATTTTGAATGATCACTTCGGCATGAGAAAGCTTTCCGCAAGATGGGTGCCGCGATTGCTCACAGTCGACCACAAACGCAATCGTGTAACAACTTCACAGGAAGGTTTGGCGATGTTTAATCGCAATATGGAGGAGTTTTTGCGCCGTTTTGTAACCGTGGACGAAACATGGATCCATCACAACACACCAGAGACCAAACAACAGTCAAAACAGTGGGTTTCTAAGGGTGAATCGGCGCCAAAGAAGGCCAAGGTGGGTTTGTCCGCCAATAAAGTTATGGCGACTGTCTCTTGGGATGCACGCGGGATAATCAATTCAAAAGGGAAGAACAATCAATGGGGAATATTATGCCAACTTATTGGACCGGTTCAATGACGATTTGAAAAAAACCGACCTCATTTGGCCAATAAAAAAGTTCTTTTCCACCAAGACAATGCAAGGGTGCACACATGTGCAGTTGCCATGGCAAACATCCATGAATTGGGCTATGAATTGCTCCCTCATCCGCCCTATTCTCCAGATTTGGCTCCGAGTGACTACTTCTTGTTCCCAAACCTGAAAAATTGGCTTGGTGGAAAAAGATTTGACTCCAATGATGAAGTCATCTCGCAAACAAAGGCCTATTTTGAGGACCTCGACAAATCATATTTTTTGGAAGGGATAAAAAAATTGGAGAAGCGTTGGACAAAGTGTATAGAGCTCAAGGGAGACTACGTTGAAAAATAAAATAATTTATTTATCAAAAAATCTGTGTTTTATTCCAAAAGTCACGACCCGCCCTCGTACAATACTTTTCACAATAGCTACCATTAAATATTCATCAAGTTTTCCAATCACTTCTTGTTAAGTACTAGATACCGATATTGATCAATGAATAGCCTATCAATAATAATAAGTAGGTAAGTATGTATGTGTGCTTTCATGTTCTGCCTGTCGTTATTATTCTTTATTGTAGTAAGTATGCTCAGTCTTCTCCATTTCTTTCTTTGGTGGAGCATATCGGAGTACTGAACCTCGACAAGGAAATGAGGTCTCTCCTGGCGATTAAGGGGATTACTTAATTTTGTATCAATATTTCGGTCATGGAATTGATATAAATGCCATATTTTAACTTTAATTGGTTGGGTAAATTCGTAGAAAATTATCTGTTAGCTTGCCAAACGGATGCATGACTGATACTATACAGTTGAACACGGAACCCTAAAATATAAAAAAATAAAATACCACTATTAATAACACGATCACTGACATAACCCTGAAAACATTTTTATATAATTAATTAATATTAATTAAACGAATGTTAGCAAACCTTTCGCTAACCTTCATTCAAAAAGCATTTCGTGTAATCCTGAAATCTTATCATATTTGTAGTCCGTATTATAGCACCTCGCGGCAGTATGCAATCATCACTGAGTTGATATCATAACGCGTTCAGGCTTTGCGGACTTGTTAATAGTTAAGTAAAGTTACGATAGTGTTTACCTTAGAGCTACAAGATTTTATTGCGAATCGAGTGCGGGACTGTTTGTGATAAGTTAGCGAAAATTGTTGAAATGATGAGTGTTAGTGCACAGAAATATATAAAGGATCAAATGGAACTAAACAACAAAATGCTCAGGAAATTAGACTACGATCTGAAAATATATAATAAACAGCTCGTTTCGCTGAAGCTAAAGACATCTACGTTACAGCTACAGATGACAGCAATGCAAATAATGTACAAGGTTATAATGGAGCTTAGACAAATTATAATAATTTTACACCCACATTTACGAAGGAAGTAAACTTATAGAAGATGTTTTTGAATTTATTATATTTCAGTATATTTATGAGGAAGGATAAAAACAAAGTCAAAGTCGCTCAACGTGCTATGGAAAGGGCTATGCTCGGCGTTTCTCTAAGGGATCGCATCAGAAATGAGGTGATCCGGCAGAGAACTAAGGTCACCGACATAGCGTACCGGATCAGCAAGTTGAAGTGGCAGTGGGCTGGCCATATTAGCCGCAGAACCGATAACCGTTGGGGAAAACGAGTTCTTGAGTGGAGACCGCGTCTCGGCAAACGTAGTGTAGGACGCCCACAGGCCAGGTGGAGTGACGATTTGCGCAAGATGGCTGGCAGGAGCTGGATGCGAGAAGCCCAAAATCGATCTAAGTGGCGTGCAATGGGAGAGGCCTATGTCCAGCAGTGGACTGCGATAGGCTGATGATGATGATGATGATGATGATGAGGAAGGATACATATGTTTTTTATTTTGATAATGAAGGTGAAGTCGCTTAGCCGAGCACAACGGCGTTTTTACAAGACTTGTTGCGTTCAACTTGGAGTAATCTATCAGAAATCCTTGTTTATCATCATGATATTCAACCATATCAACAAAACGATGACCCCATAATATTTCTTGTGTTGTATAACTCGATGTCACTTGAACAGGCTGACCAGTGGATTCTATAGTTCCCTCATAAACTACAAGTATTTCTAAATTAGCTTTCAAAATATCTTGTGCAGACAGGGTATAAAACGGGCTACTATCATTTATCGCATGTACCGCAGAAATGGGCAACATAAAGGATCTGTTTTCACTTGTGTCGATTTTCAGTTGCAGTTGTACTTGATCGTCTAACACGTCAGCCGAATCATGTCGTATTAAATAAGCATAAACGCTTCCCGCAATGATCCTCGACTTTCTGGTATTACCAATTCTAAATATCATGCATAAGTCGCGATCCCTTAGGTTAATAATTGCGTTCTTGGAGAAAAGAAGCGTCTGCGCATGATTCTTAGGGGTTGTAAACTTTGCAAATACAACACCAATCATAAAGGACTGTGAAATTGTGCCCATAATACTCTCTAAACACATCGTTATCATGGCTGATGGACACTCTAATGTAAGAGTTCTGGTCCCATAGCCTATAGTTGTATGAACTTCGATACTGAAGAGGAAGAGAGATGTGAAGTTGTAGATTTCTTTAACGCAGGGCACCCAATGCGAAGAATTGACTGCATGGGGTAAATGAACTGGCTCAAAGTCACCATGTATCTCTAAAATAATCCACCATACACAAGTAAATGCCAACCAAATGAAAATGTAAGTCAAGATGCACATCACGATGGTCCACTTCCACTGAGAGTCAATGAAAACCTTTATGATGTCAGGGAACACACGATATTTGTATTTCTTCCATTTTTCTAAATTAAACTGTCCTGATTTAAAAACAACACGTCCAACTTTTCTCTTTTCTGATCTTCTGTTCCAATGTCTGTAATAAAATAATCTACATGAGTGTGACGTTTAAAATGTTTACAGAAATTAAAGTTATGATTATTTATTCCATCTGCCTTGTTCTTAATTTCTGTGGAAAATTTGAGTGCATAATGAGTAATTTATTAATTTACACATTTTCATATTCATACTGAGATGATACCTTACTGACCTGAAAATCCTACGGAATTTATTTGATGCACGGCTATCTCTATTTTCAATAGTATTTATATCCTTTTGTGTGTCGCCATTAAATAATTGTTCTTTTTCACGCAGGTTCATTTTCTTGCCACTTATTTATGTCTAAAAATCCAACATAATTTGATTACTTTATCTCATTACTTGATTGCTCAATGTCTTAACACTTACTGAGATAGCAATCCTTCCGCGTAATACTCTTACTGATATTTGACTAGTTGATAAAATGTTATGTTAGATTACGAATTATGTTTTTAAGGTGAAAAACTCATCTCCTTCGTTGAGTTGGAAATGTTGAAGGTTTTATTTTCTCGTCTCAATGTAAATCTCTGTGTCTAACTGATTATTCATTTTTTTTCTACACTAGGGGGTAAACGAGCAGTTATCTGATAGCTAGTAACTATCGCCGCCCATGGAGACCTGCAACTCAAGAGATTGTTTTCCCTTCCCTCCCTCTGAATTATGGAAGGGGACGGTTGGGCCTCCAATAACCTCACTTACTCGGTGACAAGCAACGAATGAATATTGCTGTACACCGGTTTCTTGCGAGGTCCTGGTATCACTCCGGTCGAGCTAACCCAGATAAGCCGGGACATGGCTCTCCGAGGGTAAGTAACATATAAATCTGTATGCTTTATTATATAAGTTGTCAATACTTATTGTCAATAAGTAACAGATTTTATTCTGTATAATTTTCAAAAACCAAGGTTTCTTGAATAAAAAATCCCAAAAAAATCTTATTTCAGAAAATTGGCTCCAAAAATGACTATTTTAAACCGGTAAAGGTTAAGTGTAGTTTAGATTGAATGACCTCAATGAATAATAAAAATATGCTGTAGAAAATTAAATGTACGAGAACTAGCGACACGTCCCGGCTTCGTACGGGTGCAAAATAGGTAATGTGGTGTTGTCAGTGGGAACTAATTATTTATATCATTATTAGACTATAGCACTGGATATCTTTATATACTATAATTATATGTACGATCCGCGCCTGCACGACCGCTCTGTCCCCGCATCTTTGACATCTTCTAACATATTGATATTAATGATGTATACTGTCAAGGACAATTTTGAAATGCATTAAAGACACAAAGTGCAAGGAGTATCTAATAAAACTGTATTGTTTAAAATAGCTTCGTAAATTACCCATTATTTTTTGTGATATGTAAAAGATAAAAATGATTACTGTGGGTTGCGAGATAGATATTTAAAATCCTGGACTTTTTGTGGATCTTTTTAAGATTTATAATTCCGTAGTACATTATTTTGATATATCTCGTAAGGTTGGCCAGCCTTTGCAATATAAACGCACAAAAAAATGTTTTTACGTAATCATAATACAAATCTTTGAAATTCTCTACTATAGTATGCATGCATTATACATATAAATCTTCCTCTTGAATCACTCTCTCTATTGGTGAAAACTGCATTAAAATCCGTTGCGCAGTTTGAAAGATCTAAACTTACAGGTACGAAAAGCTACTTTGTTTTAAACTGAGTAGTATTATGGTATGAATATATTCTTAGCTCTACAAAGCTCGGTATCATATATTGGAGTAGGCGTTGAATGGATAGACTGCTTTTTTTAAATTTACAGTATAATATTTACTACTTTGTATATTTTACTTTTTTAAACAGCAAAGTTATGTATCGAAAGTAATTAAAATTACAAAATAAATAACGATAGCAATCAGAAGTTAGCTAGCTAATAGCTCATCTATGGGCAGTTCACGGTGGACAATTATTAAGGTTTATAAAATGTCAAAATGATTAAATGATACTTATTTCTGCAAGTAAATCTTTTCAGATATTTTTTCAAGTCGGAGTTGGTATGGTTAAAGGTACTAACTATGGACTAATACCTAACAAACGACCGACCTCCTTTTTAAGGAGAGGCCTATGTCCAGAAGTGTACTGTTGATTATGATGATGAACGACTAATTTATCATTGGTCATTCAACAATCAAATCACTACTGTTATTACTACTTTTTACTATTAACAATTTGTTTAATATTGATTATCCAGTAATAAATTACTAGTACTAATAAATTACTGCATCTTCTTTTATTTAGATTTTAGGGCTGCATCTACCGTTTCCGTGACCCTTGCTACTGTAAAAGTTATAGCAAGCCCACAAATTTCATGTATGTTTGTAAAGTCCCCCGCTACACATGATATATTTCTATTGTTTAAATTTAACAAAAAAAAAACGAAGAAAAGATCCTAATTTTGAAAGCAACAATCGACGGTCACGTATTACTCCTATTACAATCAACACACTGCTGGTTAAACTGAATGTAGGTATAAAGTGATTAGGATCTTTTTTGTTAACGGTAGCAAACAGATAGATAAGATTTAATGCTTTTTTCGTTTTCTATAACAATTTTAACAAGTATTACGTCCTATATAATGTTCCGTCTTCTTAAAATTTATAGGATACTATGGAATATTGATTAATATTTAATTATTTATTATTGACAATAACAATGAAAAATGGAATGAAATACATTGCATGTTTTATTATTTATGTTACTAAACTTCGTTTATGTTATTTCTTTGCCTTCAAGTACTCCTAGTGATTCTTACAAAAATTACGTAACTTACTTTTTAAAATGGTTTTTAAAAGTTCACAGGGTCATGATAAGTCTCGTGTAATAGTTATTAATGGAGTTGATGACAAGTTTAGTATTAGTATTGCATTACACTTCTCCGAGGTAAGGAGCTACAATATGAGCTCCATTGTCAGTGTGGTGACGAATTTGGAATACGGAGTGTTACCACCCCTATTCATCCACCCCTATCCATCCCTATTCATAAGAGCCGACTAAGGGAGTAAACTACGCAGGACAAAAGCACTTCTAAAAGTAGGAAAACTTGAAACAAGCCCTGTACCAACCCGTCTGGCCAGCGTGGTATAGTAGGCTAAACACTCTTTTCTAAGGAGAGGTCTATGGCTAGCAGTGGACTATTAAAGGCTGTTCATGGTGATGATAAATATCACGAGTAACATAGGCTACTTTTTATCGCAATAAGTGACATACACACGGTCAGAGCCGCGGGAGCTAGTAATAATAAAAACATATACTGTGCGCTTCAAAAATTGTTTGTGAAGTATATCGATGTAAGGGACGGTATTTTAAAGACTTGAAATAGGGACGAGATTTTTAGAAACTTTTTAATGTAAGTACACAGGATAGTAGTCGCAATACCATCAGATCAGGACCTAATGATAGAATCCTGCAGGAATCAAATGTTTGCAGAATTAGAATATTCCACTTGAAAATAGCTTTCAATTTTTTTAGAATTATTTTTAATTTTACTTATGCTTGGTTTTTAGCAGTTTGCCACTTTCTTGGCATTAATCAGGTCATGCACTTATTTGCTAACTCGTTTGTTTTATACGAAGTAAAATATCAGTAAGCGCTGCAGTCTATAACAGTGTCCGCTGGTACAACAAGAGCAATCATGCCGAGGTAATGTATCTTGTTAAAGGTTGTTTGAACTGATGTAACCCCTCAATTGCAGGTAATCTTTAATTTGCGACACTTCCCTGCCATCCTGGACGTTAGATGCCAGGGTCGGCAGGATGCAATGCTATTCGGACGCAGTGTTGCTCTACCTTTTTTTTATCATAAATGATTTAAAATACCTTCTAAAGAGGAAAAGCTAGAAAGTGGCTTCTGATGACGATTAACAGTAAAACCTATGGCTCGTTTTAAAATTAGAGGTATTGCTTTCTCACCATGGAATGATAATCAAGGCTTTAAAGATGGCGAGTCAAAATAATGCCATAACTATTTAGAAAAAGTATTAGCATATAGTCAGTCGTCAAAATTCAGTAACACATCTTTAATTTCGTTCCTTCCACATGCAGATATGAAGTTAGAAGTTTTAATTTTATAACAAAAACTAAAAAAGGTTTGTCTTAGTTATGTTATTTAGATTTGTATTACATTTTGGAACTAGTATCAATAAAATAACAGATATGATAATATAAGTTGAATTCATGGAGTTGGCAATTCCCTCGAGGCGGAAAGAGCAGTGGCCATGACAAATGAAAGAGCATCGTGACACGCGGGGACGTAATTCGATAATCGACGTGCTCTTGAACGCTCTGTCAGCCTATTTGTCATGTTGTATGACTCTTGCTGAGGAAGTTATATTGCGGAGATAGTTTAAGCACCTCGTGCAGTCAGGAACTGTAAATGCATACCCCTGACTGATGATTGATGAGAACATGGGTGCAAAAGGTAGCATGTTCTACTCTACATTATGCCTTTGGGTAAAGAAAGTACTTTAATACAACTTATAAAGCTAGGACCTGCCTACAGTAGATTGATCACGTAACCATATTGAACTTTCCGAAAGCAAAATCAAGGATTTTAGACAATTTAAGCTTTTTAAAAAGTTAGACAATAAAGTTCTAATATTAAGTGAAAAACTAACCCATTATTGACGATCTATCATAAAGATACACTGGTGTAGTACTCTGCGTGTTCGCAGTAGCGCGTGGTTCCGAAAACGGCTATGCCTAACCTAGCTTTAGGTCTTTTAAAACAATTTCGAAGTTGCCTTTTTCCGTATTTTTAATCGACTTCAAGTAGGTTTTCAGTTTGCCTCGTCGTTCCTTTATACAATTTTGATGCCCGAATACACGATAACGGCTGAACAGAATTGGGTTTTTATTTATGTAAAGCTTAGAATCTAATGATGCTATCCTAGAAAAATCGATTGATCTCTTTAAAGGTATTTGATTTAGGTATTTTTTATAATGTCGTGCTTAATTATTATTATTAATTGTTACAAGAAATGGTGAAGACTACAGGTGACTTCTAGACTACTTCTAAAGTAAAAATGTTCAAATAGGATGAACAATGCACATTAGGATATTGTAACTAAGATAATAAACATAAGAGATAATGAGTACAAATGATTACAAGTGATCAAAATTGAGGCTATTTCATCGACCTTAGGCGGGCTCCCTACAGAAGCTTTTGCCTAATCTAGGGGGTCCGCGGGAGGAAGTCTGCAAATATGGATCTGAGGGTCTATGACCAAACTCACGCGATTGGCTGGGGTG